GTGTCAACAACAACAAGATTACATTTGTATAGCGCCTTTCACGTCGGGAGGACGTTCCAAGGCGCTGAAATTTCACCATCTGTCCCTCACTGTATCGGGCTCAGCCACTCCTCCCTGTTTCCTACACTCTGCTGACCAAAGAAAGAAACTGATTTCACCCCTGGACTTCCTGCAACACGCAGCCAGTGTGACCGGTTGAAAATTGCTGACGATCCTTTGATCACAAGATTGGTCTGGATGAAGAAAGCCCTTTAGCCCATCTGATCTCATCTTTCCACATCACCCCACCACAGCATCAAGCCACTTTTTTTTATTATTATTATTTTATGAATCCAGTGTCCTGGTCTCAACCACCTTTCCTGGTAGCCAGTTCCAGTCATTCATTTCCCTCTATTTAAAGAAAAATTTCCAGTTATTAATCACATTCTGGGTTTAAAAGCAAACACTTTGTCTGTCCTGAAATTACCCTTTGGAACTCTAAACTTACGATGCCTTGTTCTGCTGTCTTGCACTGTTCCAGATTTATTTTTTCAAACCCATTTTATATTTTATTCTCCGCGTCTGAGATGGGAACTCTGAGGTGTGTTTGGTGGGAGCTGTCATTAATACAATACCTTATGTTTCATAGAGCTTCTTATCCTCTAGCCGAAACATTTCAAAAGCTTCACAACACTTTGTGATTGTCTCTCTACTGATGTTACTCCAGCTCCCTCGCACTATCGGGCTGTGCCTGACCCTCAGCTAACCAAAAAAAAAGTTGCACCCACTGCTGTTTCCTCTGAAGGATCACGTGCTGAGCTGTGACCTGCAAGCACACTGTTAATAAGGATTTCTTCACAGATTGCCTGTTGTTTCCTGTTGAAATCTTATTCCCAATTTTGCAGCGAGCTGCAAACTCGAAGTGTGAAAAATGCTGAAGTTTGTTTGACGAGACCGGAGCCCTGTGTGTGTGTGTGTGTGTGTGTGTGTATGAGTAAATGATGCAAGCTGTCATCGATACAATAATAATCCTTACAGAATGTCTCTGAGCACTTCACAGGATTTTGCTGTAAAGTGCAGTGACTGTGTATTTTGTTGGCAAACTTGGCAGCTAATTTGTGCACAGTAATCTACAGTATAATAATAATCCTTGCATTTGATATAGCGCCTGATCATGTTTTTGAGACATTTCAAAGCGCTTCACAGAATATACTATAAAATGGATTGACTGTGTACTTTGTGGGTGAAACGCGGCAGTGTCCCACATCAATCATGGATTGAGTGACTAAATAATTTTTTTTTAAGGGATTATTACCCCTGGAAAAGCGATCCGCGAATTGACTTGCAACCTGGTTCCTACTTACTTCTAGGTTAACAGAGAGTGTGAAGTAAAGAAAATTTCCTAATGTTTCGCCCCACCCGAGAATCAAACCCAGGTCCTCTTGGTAGTGAGGAGAGTGCTCTAACCACTGAACTACAGTGATGGGATGGTGGGGAGGGGAATTGAAGTTTCTCTCTGTCTTTCCAGTCTCTTTTGCTCTGACGACCACCGTAATGGAACCTTGTTATTACATCTCCTTCACCACTCTACCACTGTCACTGTGACAGTTGTAGGTTGATATATCCGTACATCATTATCAGCACTTTTGTGGTTCTTTTCAATATGAGAAGTTTCTCAATATGAGCGTGTATTTTTAGACTCCGGCACTTCCTATTTTTTCACTCATTCTTGAGGTCTGTTTAGCTATCAGGAATGGACTGTCAGGCTCCCAAATGTCAGCTTGGACCTTCTGAACTAAGGGCATATTTGACATGACATTACTTTGTTAAGAAAAAGGATTTCAAACAACAACAAAATTATATATGTATAGCGCCTTTCACGTCGGGAGGACGTCCCAAGGCATTGGACAATCAGTGTTTCGGACCAGAGCTGGGGGTCGAGATCGGGGAGGGTGGAGTGGGGAAGGAGGGTGACCGAAGCCACGTCCGAAGAGGAGGGTCTTGAGATGGGTCTTGAAGGAGGTAAGGGTGGGGTCGAGGTGGAGGGATTGCGCGATGGAATTCCAGAGGATGGGGGCAGAGTGGCTGAAGGCCCGGCCACCATTGGTGTGACGGGAGAGGCGGGGCCGTGAAGCAGAATGGAGCCCTGAGTGGAGGGAGCGGGCAGGTTGGTACGTGGTTAGGAGGTCGCAGAGGTAGGGGGGACCAAGGCCATCGAGAGCTTTGAAAGTGAGGAACAGGATCTTGAACTGTATCCTCTGTGTGATGGGAAGCCAGAGGAGTCGGGCGAGAATGGGAGTGATAAGATTGTGGAGATGTGGGAGAGATACAGGCTGCAGAATTCTGAATAATCTGCAGCCTGTGGAGGGAGCAGTTGGGAGGCCGACAAGCAGGGAGTTTGTGTAGTCGAGCCTGGATATTATGAATGCGTGGATGAGGGTATTGGTGGCCTGGGGTGTGACTCCACCACTGTGTGAGACAGACAATGTTGCAGAGGTGAGGAAGTCATGGCACGGATGTAGGGAAGAAAGGATAGTTGAGGGTCAAACAAGATGCCAGAATTCTGGACTCGCTCAGTGAGGTGGAGTGTGTTCCTTCGATACAGTACAATTTAGGTTTACATATTGCCTTTCACATTGGAAGGACATCTCAAAGCACTTTAGAGGATATACTGTGAAGTGAACTCAAACACAGCAGCCATTTGCACGCAGCATTGTCTTACATACAGCATTGAAGGGAGTGACTGATTTGATCTGGAAGATTGTTGGCTAGGTCACTGGGACAAACACTTCTCTTTTTGAATTTGAATAGTACCTCGAGATCTTTAGCAACCACTTGAACAGCTTTCGGTTTTAATGTCTCATCTGATGCAGGTCACCTCTGACCATGGTTTTCCCTCGATTTTGGACTCAAGGAAGTGTGCGAGGAAATGCTGGACTTCCTCGAGTCCAAAATCAAGAGAATCCGCTCAGCTGTCACTGCCCTCCCAACTTTCATCCCCTCCACTACCCATCCCTCTTTCCACACCTTTGAACCTGTCACCCCCTCCTCTGGATTCACCAGCATTTCCTCCATGAAGCTCACCATCTGCTCCCTGGACCCCATCCCCACCACTCTCCTTAAATCCCAGCTCCACCTCCTTGCCCCACTACTCTCTGACATCATCAACCTCTCCCTGTCATCTGGCGCTGTTCCTACCCCTCAAAACAGCCACTATCACCCCCACCTTGAAGAAACCTTTCCTTGACCCATCACAGCATGGAAACTGCTCTTGTCAAGGTCACAAATGACATCCTGACCATGTGTAACCAGGACTCCCTCTGCCTCCTCGTCCTCCTCGAACTCTCTGCTGCTTTGATACTGTAAACCAGTCAATCCTTCTCCACCGCCTCTCCTCCCACCTCAACCTTCAAGGTTCTGTCCTTGACTGGTTCAGGTCCTACCTTTCATACCACCTCCACTTTGTCTCTGCAAACGGCTTCTCCTCCAGCCCCCGCATCGTCTCATGCGACATTCCTCAGGGCTCTGTCCTCGGTCCCCTCCTCTTCGCCCTCTACATGCTCCCCCTAGGTGACATCATCTGCAGACATGGGGTAAATTTCCACATGTATGCGGATGACACCTAACTCTATCTCTCTGCCTCCATCCTCAACTCCAGGACTACTGGTGTCCTGACCGACTGCGTATCCGACATCAAGTCCTGGACGAGTGACCACTTTTTCCAACTGGACGTCAGCAAGACTGAGGCCCTCCTGATTGGCTCGTGCCAGCACCTCCGCACCTCAGGCACTGGCAGCATCAGTCTCCATGGCTGCACACTCAACCTCACTGAGCCAGTCAGGAACCTGGGTGTCTTGTTTGATCCTGAACTGTTCTTTCTCCCCCACGTCCAAGCCATGACTGGCACTGCCTACTACCACCTCCACAACATTGCCACTACCTCACCCCTCAGGCTGCCGCAACTCTCACCCATGCATTCGTCCAATCAAGGCTCGATTATGGAAATTTCCTCCTCATCAGCCAACTCTTCCCTTCACAAACTGCAGATCATCCAAAACTCTGCAGCTCATGTAGTCTCGCGCACCAGGCTCCGTGACCCCATCGCTCCCACCCGCCCGACTCCACTGGCTCCCCATCGTTCAGAGGATCAAATTCAAGATCCACATGCTCACTTTCAAGGCCATCCTTGGCCTTGCCCCCTCTCTGACCTGCTGATTCCCTACCAACCTGCCGCTCTCTCCGTTCAGCAGGCTTCAGCCTGCTCCATGTCTCCCGCCTGACCTGCCCTACCATCGGTGGCCGGGCTTTCAGCCTCTCTGCCTCCACACTCTGGAACTCCATCCCACAGTCCCTTCGCCTTGCTTCCTCCCTTGCCTCCTTCAAGGTCAGTCTGAAGACCCTCCTCTTCGATCGTACCTTCAATCACCCTCCCACCTCTCTGCCTTCCCTCACCCTTACCCCACCCCTCCCCATGCTCGGGTCCTGACCCCTGACTGTCCAGCGCCTTGGGACGTCCTCTATAAATGTATTTGTTGTTGTTGTTGTTTCCTGTTGCACTGAACAGCTCTCCGGCTATTGTGTGTTTGTTTTGCAGAAAGACTCCGCGCAGGCAGTGACTATAGCTGTGTCGTCTCGTGCTATCTTTGACCTGGAGGAGGAGCATGAGCTGTTCCTGGCGGAGGGCATGGGAAACTACACCAGCCATCAGATAGCACACGAAAACGAACCTCTGGCAGAGGGCACGGCATTGCCCTTCATCAGAGTAAGTGCCCCCAAGGCAGCCCCCGCAGCCAGTCCCAACATCGTTAGTCGCTTGTAAATATGTCAAATAAAATTAGCCCGCAACTCGTGACTCATGGCAACTTTCATCTAAACTTTCACCTTAAAAAAACAGTGGTACAAGCCAAATAAATAGTAATTTACATTTTATGTCGGGAGGACATCCCAAGGCGCTGCACAGTGCAGGGTTTGCACTGGAGTTGGAGTGGAGGTAGTGGTTGTGGAGATAAGGGGGGTGGGGCATCGAAAGATGTCCGAAAGTTCATCAACGAGGAAGGTCTTGAGGTTAGACCTTGAAGAGGTGAGCTGAAGGGACATCCGAGATAGAGTTCCAGAGAGATCGGGGCAGATGCGCTGAAACTATGTCCCTTGACAAGAAACCACCCCCACCCCGAGAGTGGTGTGTGATTTGCACACTTGTCTCTTGCAGGCGGTTCAGATGGTAAATGAGAAGTTATTGGAAAACAATCCCGAGGAGAAGCAACTGTTTGACATCATCCTGGTCTCCAACAACAACGCCCAGAGTGGACTGCGCATCATCAACAGCATCAAGCACTACGGTCAGACACCCAACACGCCCCCGCCACAAACTATTTTCCTCTCACTGAACCTCTCTCCTTCCTCAAAGGTCTTTTCAACACTTTCTGCTTCCGCTCAGTCCAATTCCATTGCTCCTTTTCTCTCTCTTTCCCCGCCATCCCACCCCACCTCCAAACATCGCCCCGGTGTTGGCTGTTCAACCGGTGAGTGGGCCACATTACGGTGTAAATGGGTAAAAGAAACAGCAGTAAAACTCACGCAAGTCTTACCTTTATAAATCGTATAATCGCCCAAGTCATGCTTTCACCCCGAGTCCCATTCAGTTTCCTATCAAAACCTCTTAGATTTCTTTGCACCACTTGTATTAATCACCTCCTAACTCGTAACGCCGCCCCCTACCCTCCATTCACCCCCCCCACCTCTACCGGCTGCATTGAATCACGGGCAATTTACTCTTGATCCGTTGCCGCATGCGCAAAAGAACTTTGTTTCGGGCGATTCGCTGCAAGTTTTACTCTATATGTAATGTGCATCAGTGGCTCCTGTGGATGCAAGGTGCTGGTGATGAGTGAGTGAGTCTTGCTGTTGTCCGCAGGTCTGCACATCACCCGGTTCTGTTTTCTGAATGGGATCGATCCCTCCAAGTACCTGCAATCCTACAATGTCAAGCTGTTCCTGTCAGCAAACGAGTCGGCTGTTTGCAGTGCCCTTAAGAGAGGTGACTCCCAACCCCATAGCGATAGAGTAACCTGGAAAGTGTGAAGCGCGTGGGGTAGTGTGTAACACAAGAATGACAGGTGTGTGTGGTAGTGTGTAACATGGAGAATGATAGGCATTTGGGGTAGCGTATAATACTGGACTGACGGGTATGCGGTAGAGTGTAGCACAAGGTGGGGGGGGGCCATTGTGTGACACGGAGCGTGACGGGCATGTGAGGTAGAGTGTAACACAAGGTGGGGTGTCAATGTGTGACACGGTATGTGAGTGTTGGAGTGTTACTCAGTGTTGGGGAGTTGTTAATGTGCTTATGACCGCTCTTTCCCTCAGGGATTCCCGCGGCGCTGGTTATCCAGCAGGACGTTCAGACGGCAGCAGAGCAGCTGAGGGTGGTATTCGACGGGACTGCGTGCTCTTCTCTGACGAGAGTGAGAACGTTTACAGAGAGAAGGGTCTGGACGAGGTCATCAAGTACGAGAAGGATCGTGAGCACATTCCTATTGGAGAAGTAAGTCGGGTGTCCTGCTGTCCTTCAGACTTGTGCCCGTTCCCACCAGCCTCTGCTCCCCCACAGTCTCTACTGGCTCCCCCCCCACCACCCCCATCCCTTCGTCCCCTCGGCACTACCATAGGCGGCCATGTCTTCAGCCAGTACACCCCGAAACTTTGAAACTCTCTCCCTCAATCGCCCTGCGTTACAACTTGTTGTTGTTGCACTTGACGGCCAGCAATTCCCCGTGAAGCTGTTTAACAGGCATTTAACAGACACTGTATTGAATGGTGTTTTGCTATGACTATATTATTGGCCACACAGGGACCTCTGAAGGCGTTCGCCATGATCCTGGGGAACATGAAGAAGAAGTTCCCCCGGGAGAAGGACCCCATCTGTACCTACCTGCTGACCTCGAGGAGCGGCAGGGACATGGGGGTCCGGGCCATCAAGACCCTCCGGGACTGGGGGCTCGAGGTTGACCAGGCTTTCTTCCTGGACGGTGCTCCCAAAGATCCCATTTTAGCCCAAATCCGACCGCACATATTCTTCGATGATTCAACGCACCACATTCGTGGGGCCCTGGCATCAGGCACTCCTGCTGGCTACATCCCTCCCTGCGACAAGTCCTGAAGAGGGACATTTCGGGCCAATTGGAACAAGGTTTTTCTGTGCATAGCTCCTTCCCTCCCTCAATCCCTTCCTTCCTCCTTCATTCCCTCCCTCAGTCCTCCCTCCCCAACATCCCTCCCTTCCTAGGACTATCCGTGCTTCTAAACTCCCAGCCCTCGATCAGAACTGTTTGCATTATAATTTTGTATGGGCGGTTTGATCAGCAAAAGTTGTTTTCTTCTCCAAAACCTTTCACGGTTTTATTTTTCCAGTGGGGAGGCGAGAGCGGAGATGCCTTTTGATATCCTCTTTCCTTCCTCACCCCCCCCACGCCCCTTACACTTTCCCCTCGCGATCCCTACACTCAGCATCGCCTATATAGTGGTGCAGGTATATCTGCCTTGCTTGGTTACTGCTCTGCGCTTTGAGTTGTTTTGTGAGCTGCGGATTCTGTTAGAAAGTGGCAGAGACCCGACCAAAGGGAACAGAACAGGCTGGGGCCCATTTGGTATTTGAGAGAGAGAAGAGAGAGAGAGAGGGGTAGGTGGGGTGGAATAGGAAGGGAATTTGCCGAGAATCTACTTTACGTTTTAGAGTGACTTTTGTAAGGGAACACAGTCAAAAGGCTGTAATTCAACTCAGCACATATCTGCACTGCCAGTTCTTGTCGCTGGGTCACACATGCTGGTCAACCATTAACAATGCCTTAGGTTATGGCGGACTTGCCAGTATTGTCTCCTCAGGGCAAGTTCAGCTCTTGTTATACGTTTTTTCTCCCCATCTCAACCTCTACCCGGGATATGCACTTTGACCTGAGCCGGTCATTCAGATTAGACTCAAACTCTCTTTATAAAACAGAGGAACAATTATCAGCTGACAGCCCTGCATTTTATGGAATTTATTGTAGAGTTGGCATCTACACCAGAAATCAAAGTCTAATTTCCAAAATAACCAAATAAAGTCACCATATCTGAATAATAATAATAATACTTCTTACATCCGATACAACATCTTTCGCGTCAGGAGGACGTCTCAAAGTCCTTCAAAAGAGTTACTGTGAAGCGCAGTGACTGTGTATATGTAGGCGGACACAGCAGCCCATTTGCACGCAGCACTGTCCCCAAAACAGTGACCAATATTTATTTGGGGGATTATTGGCCCGGACACTGGGAGAAACTCCCTCCTTTTTTCAAATAGTGCCATGGGATCTTTAATAGATCGATGGGACCTCGGTTTAACGTCTCATCCAAAGGACAGACAGAATTCAGTTGCTCTGATTTTAGAGGTTTCCATCCACATAGCCAGTGAGATGTGGATTGTAATCTCCCAGAAAACACAACACACACACTGAATTTTAGCATTCAGTTTGGGAGATCAGCTTTTATATATTCAGGGAGATCAGCTTTTGCGAATTCTATTTTTGTTAAAAATATATGTGGTTATTTACCCTTTCAAAAGCGCACAGGCAAAATTTGTGCTCGTTTGTGCTTCGGCTGTGAGATGCTGCTGGCTTTATAGAAGGTCATAGACTTTCTCGACCTTGTGCTCCCGGCTCCTTCGACTGTGGGTCCAACACACCGGCACTCGCCATTGTTTCCTAACGCGATCTGCTGGGTGACTGGTCTCTTTGTTGAGTAAATAATGTCAGTCACTTGGCTGCAGTGACTGAGGTGCTTGCCAGGTGTCTGCACTGGCTACTGAGCTCTGGAAGGTGGCTAGCGGCAGGAATCGAGTCCAGGACGAGAATGGAATCTTTATAAACTAGGTCAGCGGGAAGAGTTGCTGCTTTTAAACCTTTTTGCAGATAGAGATACATTTCTGGGTTAAACTAATTTATAGTGTATTAAAAAATAAATCAGTTTATGTATAAGCTAAGGTGTGAGTGTGTGACCTTATAGATAGACCGTGTAGCTAATAGAGAGCGGCTTGAAGGCAAAACTATATCCTGTAGTTAATGTTGAAGCTTATAGACAAAACTTTAGAGCTGGGAGTGGGTTACAAAGAAGCTAATCAGATAGTTGATTTATAGGATGTATTAGAGTACTAAATAAACGGATCCTGTTTCATATGATAATAATAATAATCCTTGCATTTGATATAGCGCTTTTCACATCGGGAGGACGTTCCAAAGCGCTTCACAGAACACACTGTAAAGTGAATTGACTGTATATTTGTGGGCGAATGCGGCAGCCAATTGCACACAGCAATGTCCCACAAACAGTCGTAGATTGAAAATGACCAATTTTATTATTGTTTCGTTTTTTGGAGGGATTATGATTTCATAACCTACTAATATCAGAGCTCGAGTGCTGTATATTTTGTCCTATGTAATCTATAACCAGGTATATAAACATATATAATGAAAGTCACATTGCAGACCTGGAGCGGTGAGTGCTACATTGCCAGGTATCGGGTAATTCAATGAGTCCTTCCACAGCCCTGGGATTGCCCATCCTGGTGTGTGTTACAATACCTTCTTAGGACTAGTTATCGGATTAGTTTTACTCTAAGAATATTCACTGTCATTGTGAATGGGTGCAATGGAGCAATGCTTTTATTAAAGCACAATCCTGGAAAGTCAATCAATCGCATTCTGAATCATTGGTGACTGCAAAGTCAAGAGGAATACTATTATTATTATTGGAGAGGGAAGGAGATCTGTAGTTATTTATATTTCTAGCATATTGGGTCTTATAGTCCTGAGATTAACTGCCCAACTCACTCCACAGCCCACTGATCTGTTGGGTTAGTGCAGGTTAATCAAGGAGTGAGTGCTGAAGCCATTCAAGTCCATCACAGATGAAAAAGGTGGCAGAGATATTTAGAAAGTGAAGAAAGGAACCTGTGAGGGTCTCTGCACAGTTTTGTTCACGCTCATCTTAGAGAGTCGAGACTTGGGAGTCCCTCAGAGTAGAAGCAAGTGATAGCTAGCGTTCCTGATCTTAGCTGTGCTTTGGGTAGCTGGTGAGTGGAGGTTACGCTGAGGTATTTCTGTCAGAATATTTACATACAAAGGTAAAGAGTGACAATCGGGCTTCCATCTCCTAGAGTTCAGGAGCCGAAGATATATTTTTATAAAGCCAGGCTATTGGGCTACACGGAATTTCGACCTTGGCTAATAAGGGTTGGTTATATTATGGGTTAAGATATGTCCAGCATTGGATGGTACACATGACATGGGAGTTTTTGATTGTCGCACTTAGATTTGCTGTGCAGGCTGTGTGGTGCTATTCAATGTTGGAATGTTATGGTAAGTTTTTTTTCAACACAGTCACGAGAAGCACAATCTTCTCCGAATGTTAGCATGTCAAAGCAATAATCCAGCTTTATATTCTTTCTCCGTTGCCAAAACTGTATGGACCACTAAGTTATTTATTCAGTATTCTGCACTCCTCATGTCTACAATAAATCCAAAAGCTTTCACAAACTAGTCTCATGTTTGTTTCTGTTTCCTCTCAAACCTGGAGAGGATGCACCAGAATTGCGCCTCTTGTGTGCACAGGGGAAATTGTTGACTTAAATTGTTTTTCTCTTATTTGAATGAGAATTTGAGCAATTACAGAGCGTTAAATCGGCTTCTATAACGTTTGCCTTACAGTACATCACAGTGCGGCTGATCAGTGGGAACTGCCTGTGTGTGACAGCCTAACTGTGTCATGACGTTCTTACTCCCTTGCCTCCTTCAAGGCCCTCTTCTTTGACCAGGCCTTCGGTCACGGTCCTTCACCCTCTATCCCTCAAGTGATGTGAATAGTCCGTCCCATGTTCTTGGCTTACAGTGATCATTAGAGAGGTCATTGCTAAGGAATTTTCACTGAAAGGCAAATAAACCGACTGAGGCAAAGATTCGCAGGGTAAGAAAGATTATACTTCACGATTACGGAAATTGAGAGTCATTTGGCTGTTATTGAGCACATATAATTGTGTCTGGTTTAAGCGCATTCAGGGCCTGAGAATGGAAGCCTTGTTGAATAAACCGAGCTCCTGTGAGAAGATTATGCTTTCTACTCTTTCTTTGTTTTTAATCTTCTGTTTACACTGGATCAGATCGCACTGAGTAAATCTCTCATGGTTTTAAGACCCACATCGGGATTCTTAACTCACGGTCAAGGCTGCTAGAGCACAGTGCCTAGGGACGTACTCCCGACAAGAAAGGCACTTTGTAAATGCAATGTTTTCTTGTTGTAAGAGGTACCATCCTTTGGATGGGACGTTAAACTAAGACCACATCTGCCTGTTCAGGTGAACATTAAAGATCTCAAGGCACTTCTAAAATTTCTCCCAGTGTCTACGAGCAATGATTAGACAATCTAGGACTCTTCAGTCCTGAAAAGAGATGTTTCAGAGAGAATCTTACAGGGGTGTCCACCATTTAAATGGGACAGAGAAAGTAAATCCAGAACAATACATGAGGATGCACCGTGACAGTAGAACAAGAGTATACAGGTTTAGAATTACAAAGGGTAATTTAAGGACAGACACCTGGAGACGTTTTCTTTATCCAGAGGGTAATTAACAACTGGACAGGTTGCCAGGAAGGATGGTTGAGGCCAAGACACTAAGCTCATTTAAAAAGCAGTTTGTTGCTGTTCTTGGAGGATGGTAGGGTGGGTATTCTGGAAGGATGAGTTCAAATGGGTCAAAGAGCCTTCTACATGGAGTTCTGTAGCTCAGTGGAGTTCTGTAGCTCAATGGTTAGAGCACTGCTTTGCAAGCGAGAGACCTGGGTTCAATTCCCGACAGGGTGAAACCTTGGGCAAGTTTCCTCACTCCACACTCCTGATAATAATCTCTCTCAAAAAGAATAATAAATTGGTAATTTCAATGTATGACTGTTTGTGGAACACCACTGTGCGCAATTGGCTGCCGCATTTCGCCCACAAATATACAGTCAATTCACTTTACAGTCTATTCTGTGAAGCACTTTGAGACGTCTAGAAGACGTGAAAAGCGTTATATCAGATGCAAGGGTTATTTATTATTATTTTTATTACATCCAAACCAATTTTGTGAAACTCTCCTCTCTCTCTCTCTCTCTGTTTGCTGACTGGGGTTTCCATACTAATTGAGCGAGGGACGGACTCTAGCCAGGCTGGCAGGTAAATGACTCGCATCAAAGGTCAATGTGGGAAGTTTCAATCCGAGAGAGCAGCTGGTGTGAGAAATGGAGACATTTACACAGATGCGATAGAGTTCAAGTCAGAGTTGGGCTGTGGCACAGAGCAGAGGAAGCCGCATGCAGATAGGTGTTAATGTTATCGTTCCAAAAGTAGGTCTCAGCCTTGTGGCCCAATAATGTGCAGGGCTCAGAGCTGGCAAGACTGTACGTCTGGTGAAAAATGTGTGTGCTTGTGTGCGCTTGTGGATCGAGAGGCCGAATATTGTGACTGAGTAGATGTAAATTGCGTTACCAGTTGCAGTTGAATCATGCCTTGCGGCTGCAGGAGGATGTGGTCTGAAAGAGAACAAAAAACACCCTAAGAACATCGTTTGAAAAATAATTGTTTGGATTGCCAATAATCCAAAAAATAAAAAATAATAATTCTTATATTTGACATCGCACAAATAATTTCAAAAACATCTCAAAGTGCTTCTCATGGAATTGCTACTGAGGACCCAGACAGTGATCCGCCAATCGACTAACAACAGTTTGTACTGGCTCTTTTAAGCAGCAATCCTTTCAGTCCCAACGACCTGCAATTTCCCCATATCCCCGTTGCTTACCCCTGTTTAGATATCTATCTCGTTCCCTTTTGAAAGCTAATATGGATTCTGCCTCAAGCACCACTCCCGGCAGAGTGTTCCATATCCTAACTACTGGGTGTAAACTATGGACCACACTGTAAATCAGTCACCCACTTCAACCGTTTGCTAGTGATATCTCAGACTTACACCTCGCCACTTCAGAAACTACCCACGGGTTCAGCATTCTGGACTTGGAACATTATTTGATCATTGCTAATCACCTCTCTCGCCATCTTCCGTGCATGACAACATTTCTCCTAACCTCCCTGTCTGCTGGCTTGCTAGTTATCTTAAATTGATGCCACGATCATTGGCAAATCGAATAAAAGTAGAAAGAAGCGTTAAAAGCCTGCAGTTTACTTATAATAATCCTTGCATTTGATATAGCACCTTATTACGTCTTTGAGACATCTCAAAATGCTTCACAGGATATACTGTAAAGTGTAGTGACTGTGCATTTTGTGGACAAAACGCGGCTGCCAATTGAGCAAAGCAATTGATTACTTGTGATTCGATGAGCTGTGAACTGATTCAGGCTGGCAGGTGATGTGACAGCGTAGCTGCGTGGCTCAGTGTTTAATACAGTGTAAAGTAACTCTTTGTGTTATATTCGACTGGGCCAATGGCTCCAGCCCTGATCGTGCAGCCTGACTGCGTCATTGAGTAATGGATAGTGAAGAAACTTGTCACAAGGAAGTAGCGAGTTGAGGCGGTCAGGGTCACACGCTAACCACAAATGTGGAATGCAAGCCGCTTGCAAAAGAACTCTTGAGTCAATTAAGTACTAAACCATATCTAAGATGTGTTTAATTTCTCCCCAATTTAGATGACTCATGTGGAGTCGTGTAGTTCAGTGGTTAGAGTGCTTGTCCTGAAACAAAAAGACCTGGATTTGATTCCCGAGCAGGGTGAAATATTGGGCAAGTTTCCTTACTCCACACGTCTCCATTTACCTAGCAGTAAGCAGGAACCTGGATCGCTTTTCTGGGGTAATGATCCCTTAAAAATTTGGTCACTCAATCCTCGACTGTTGTGGGACACTGCTCTGCGCAATTGGCTGCCATGTTTCGCCTACAAAATACAGTCAATTCACTTTACAGTATATTATGTGAAGCGCTTTGAGACGTATCGAAGATGTGACTAGGTGCTATATCCAATGCAAGGATTATTATTATTAAGTGAATAACGAGTTGTATGTTTTTATGGTATGTTAGGTATAGCAGCTTTCAGGTTAGCTGTCTCGGAGCACTTCACAGTGAATTGCTGTCAGCTGTGGTGACTGTATATTTTGTGGGTAAACACGACAGCCATTTTGCACACAGATATGTCCTAGAAACAGCCATTAAGTGAATGACTAATCTAGGCGGAGGATTGCTGACCAGGAGAAACTCCTTTCTCTTTTTGAATAATGTCCACCTGAACAGGCAGAGAGGTCCTCGGTTTAACATCCCATCCAAAGAATAGCAACTCTTGCCATACGCCATAACACTCCAGTGCAGTGGGGGGGGGGGGGGGGGGGGGGGGCGGAGGTGTGTGGAGGAGGGGGGGGGGGGTTGCTGCATGTTAGTGGTGCCGTCCTTCAGATGAGACGTTAAACTGAAGTCCTGCTTGCTTGTTCAGGTGAACTTTAAACATCCGATGGCACAATGAGATCCCACTGGATTCTGACGAAGAAAAAATCGGAACGCAAGGATTATCACTATGATTATTTCTTCTTCTTCTTCATCATTAAGAATAATCGAGTCATTCACTTCATGGCTGTTTGTGGGACGTCGCTGTACGCAAAATAGGCTGTCGCGGTTCGTCCACAAAATACATCACTACACTTTACAGTATATTCTGTGAAGTGCTATGAGATGTCTAGAAGACGTGATAAGGCGCTATATCAAATGCAAAGATTATTATCATCCCCCCCACCCCCCACCCCCGACCTCTGGAACTCCCTCCCTCAATCCCTCATGATCCATCTTTAAATCCCACTTGAAAACCTACCTCTTCAGCCATTGCTAAGGTCAACCCCCACTTTCCCCCCCCAACCCCCACCCTTGGCTCAGTGTCCCACCCTGTGGTTATGCAGTGCCGCGAGATGCTATTCTGCCTTAGGGGTGCTGTACAAATGCAAGTTGTCCTGTAGCTCAGTGGTTAGAGCACTCGCTTTGCAAGCGAGAGACCCGAGTTCAATTCCAGGCGGGGGTGGGTGGGTGGGGGGCGAAACCTTGGGCAAGTTTCCTTACTCCACGCGCCTGACAATAAATCCCTCCAAAAAAACAAACAAACCCCAAAGCAATAAGAAAATCGGTCATTTCCGATCCGCGACGGTCTGCGGGGACGCAACGAATCGGCGGCCGCGTCCGCGTCCGCCCACAGACACACAGTGGGGTCCACTTTACAGCGAGTGTTCCGTGAAGCGCTTTCGGGGACGTGATGAGGGGCTCTTATCTAATCCAAGGATTACGATGATGATGATGATGAAGATGATGATGATGATGGTTATGATTTTATCTGCCGAGGGCTGAGCAATGGAAGAAAAGGGTTAACAGACAGTGCGGGGCCGTCCCCCGACTGTAGCACATGACTGACTATACGGCTATAAAAGCGCAACGAGTCGATTGCTCCCACGGACTGGAGCCGATTCCCTGTCGCTGTAACCATGAGAGTCGACGGCTGGTTACTGCTGCTCACAGCCATCACTGCTACTGGGGGGGCGCTGGTCAGGTGGGAGAGGTGGAGGGGGAGGGGGTAAAGGAGGGGGAGAGGGGGTAAAGGAGGGGGGGAGGGGGTAAAGGAGGGGGGGAGAGGGGGTAAAGGAGGGGGAGAGGGGGGGGTAAGAGACGGTGGGGGGAGAGGGAATGGAGATGAGCAGAGAGGGAGGAAATGGGGCAGAGGACAGAGGGGGGAAGGGGGGGGGAGAGAGAAGGGGGGAGGGGTGAAGGAGGCGGCGGGGAGTGGGGGGCAGCAGGAGGGGGAAAGGAAATCCGTCTTGTAGGCCACTCTCTCTACATTGGAACTACATGAAAAGTTTGGGAAAGTCCAGGGCTCTGTCGGTATTTGTAATAACCTGATGCTTTTACAATACCTTAAATCTTGCACTAGATGTGAAAGAGGCTATAAAAGTATGTGTCCTTGATACACTGCAGCCTAAATTAAAAAAAACTTTGGGTTAATGATTGCATTCAGTTTTACTGCTTCGGTTGAGCGTGGCACTGAATGAAATTTATACTCCTTGATGTTTTATTTCAAGATCCTCATCCTCACCTACAAGTTGATTTCAAGATCCTCATCCTCACCTACAAGGCCATTCACGGCCTTGCTCCCTCCTACCTCTCCAACCTACTATCCCCCTACCTACCTGCCCGTACCCTCCGTTCCTCTGGCACCTGTCTGCTCCACGTCCCCCGCCCCAACCGCCCTACCATCGGTGGTCGGGCCTTCAGCCTCTCAGCCCCTAGGCTCTGGAACTCCATCCCCCAGTGCCTTCGCCGCTTCCTCCCTTTCCTCCTTCAAGGCCGGTCTCAAAACCTTTCTCTTTGACCGTGCCTTCAGCTCCCCTCTCGACTCTCTCTTCCCCCTCCTCGCTCCCTCCCTTCCCTCCCCTCACCCTGACCATTTCCCCCCTCCTTGCTCCCTCCCTTTCCTCCCCTCACCCTGACCATTTCCCCCCTCCTCTCTCCCTCCCTTCCCTCCCCTCACCCTGACCATTTCCCCCTGCTCGGGTCATGACCCAACTGTGCAGTGCCTTGGGACGTCCTCCTGACGTGAAAGGCGCTTTATAAATGGAATCTTGTTGTTGTTGTTGTTGTATTTCATTGAGGTGACCAAAATAAACCCAAGGAAACTTGGGTGGTGGGGTCCGCAGGCATTTTGCTTTGAACCACAATCGTTACTTGCTCTCTCCCTTCGAGACCTCTTTGCGACGTCTTCAGATTTCCGGGAGAAGTTTCACCTGGTCCGAACGTTTGTGTTTGCAGAATTCCTTTGACGAGGTTCCGCTCGATCCGGAGAGCCCTGAGCGACAGTGGGAGGAGTGTGGAGGACCTGCTCCCAGAAAACAAGTACAAGACAGATTCCCCGAGTATCAATGGCCCAACTCCAGAAACCCTGAAAAACTACCTGGACGTGAGTATCGTAGGCAGCTCAGCGCAGGACACCTGGCAATCTGCTTTTGCCGCTTTGTGTTCTGAGCGAGCAATTCTAAGGCTGGCATCAGGCTTTGTGTGTCAGCCTGACTCGGAAGTGTCAGCAGCACTCTCGCCTCTGAGCCAGGAAGTTGTGGGTTCAAGCCCCACGTCAGGGCTTTGAGTTCACAGGCTGACACTCCAATACAATGTCGGAGGCGTGGGCAGTTGGTGGAGGTGATGGGCTTTGGCTGAGATGATAAACCGAGGTCCGTCTGTCTATTCAGGTGGATGGCACTATTTGAAAAGAGAAGGGTCCAGGAGTCCTGGCCAATAATCCCCCAAATAAAATTGGTCATTCACTTCATGGCTGTTCGTGTGATATTGGTATATGCAAATTGCCTGCATTGCTGTGTTCGTCTATACTTCACTGTGAAGGGCTTTGAGACGTTCTGACGACGTGGTAAGGGACTATATCAAATGCAAGAATTATTATTATAATTATTAATCTCAGCTCTATATGGTGTGTTATGCATGTCGTGTCCGACAATGCGGTACTCAGTTTAAAGGTGAGTTTTCAGGGATTTTGCTAAGTAATTTTGAGGACAGAGTACAGTACTCTGTTCCCCTTTTCAATTCCTCATGAGACGAGTTGTATCAAAATATCAACTGCAAATTCTGCCCTTCCTGTGTGTGTGTGTGGTGTCTCGGCAGTCACCAGTCGTAGTCCAAATTAACGGTCCACTGGCACATCTGGCTGGACCGCATCAAAACGTATTCTGCTCTCGCCTCAGCCAAATCATCCTTCTACTCCAGGTTAATCCTGGAGGCAAAGGGCAACTCAAGGCTCCTGTTCACCACGACAACCGGCTCCTCCGTTCTCCCCACCATGCCTTGCAGATTCTTTCCTCCGACTCCCACTGCGAGGAAATGTTTGATTTCCTCAAGTCCAAAATCAAGGGAATCCGTTCAGCTGCCAGTGCCCTCCCTACCATCCCCCACACTCCGACCACTATCCGTCCCTCCTTCCACACCTTTGAACCTGTCACCCCCTCCTCTTTCATCACAACCGTATCCTCCATGAAGCTCACCATCTGCTCCCTGGACCCCATCCCCACCACTCTCCTTAAATCCCAACTTCACCTCCTTGCCCCACTACTCGCTGACATCATCAACCTCTCCCTATCATCTGGCACGGTTCCTTTTCTGTCTAAGCACGGAAACTGCTCTGGTCAAGGTCACAAATAACATTCTGACCATGTGTGACCAGGGCTCCCTCTGCCTCCTTGTCCTCCTCGACCCTTCCGATACTGTGGTCCAATCAATCCTCCTCCCACCTCAACCTTTAAGGTTCTGTCCTTGACCGGTTCAGGTCTTACTTTTCACACCGCCTCCACTTTCTCTGCAAACAGCTTCTCCTCCAGCCCCTGCACCATCTTGTGCAATGTTCCTCAGGGCTATATCCTCGGTCCCCTCCTCTTCGACCTCTACATGCTTCCTCTTGGTGACATCATGCAAAGACATGGGGTAAATTTCCACATGTATGCAGATGACACCCAACTCTATCTCTCTGCCTCCACCCTCAACTCCACGAATACAGGCATCCTGACCGACTGCCTGTCCGACATCAAGTCCTGGACGAGGGACAACTTTCTCTAACTGAACGTCAGCAAGACCAAGGCTCTCCTGATTGGCTCGTGCCAGTGCCTCCGTCCCTCAGGCGCTGGCAGCATCAGCCTTCATGGCTGCACACTCAACCTCACTGAGCCAGTCAGGAACCTGGTATCTTGTTTGACCCTGAACTGTCCTTTCTCCCCCACATCCGCGCCATCACCGGCACTGCCTACTAGCACCTCCGAAACATTACCAGACTCCGCCACTGCCTCATCCCTCAAGCTGCCGAAGCCCTCACCCATGCATTCGTCACATCAAGGTTCCCTCCTCATCGGCCTTCTCCACCAGAACTCCTTTCTGAGTTCACCCAGGCACTGGCAAGTTCTTTCCACACGCCAATAATCTCAAAACTCTGGCAGCTCGCTGTCACTCCGTGATACGCCCACTGGCGCTCCTCCATCCCTCAGACGATTGAATTCAAGATCCTCATTCTTACTTTCAGGGCCATCTATGGCCTTGCCCCCTCATACCTCTCTGACCTGCTGACTCCCTATCAACCTGCACCCTCCCTTCAATCAGCGGGCTCCGGTCTGCTCCTTGTCTCCCGTCCGACTTGCCTACCATCGGTTGCCAGGCTTTCAGCCTCTTTGCCTCCATACTCTGGAACTCCATCCCACAGTCCCTTCGCCTCGCTTCCTCCCTTGCCTCCTTCAAGGCCGTTCTCAAGTCTCTCCTCTTCGATCGTGCCTTCAGTCGCCCTCCCACCTCTCTGCCTTCCCCCACCCCTCCCCTCGGGTCCTGCCCAGCGCCTTGGGACGTCCTCCCGACGTGAAAGGGGCACTATAAATGTAATTTTGTTGTTGTTGTGGTCTAGACTTGTATTATTAACCAGAACTATCTGTAATCAATGCATCTTTTACTGGCTGCGCTATTATTGTGACACATTCTCCAATGTGACGGTTTGGCTCTTAGATAATTCATCTTACCTGCCTGTTATCTTGAGCACCTAATTGCGTACTTCCTGTTGCTAGTCTGGCATGAAATGAAGCTGATATCTTTTAAGGCTTGAAACATATTGCATTTGGCTTTCACAGGAACCTTTTGTGCAATGGTCAGCGTTATTGCAGGTGTAAACGTCATTGTGTTTGATAGTACTGACTAATGATTATCCTCCTGGTGGAGAAAGCAAGCTGGGCCTCTGTCGCTGAACTGGCTCCAAGGTGACGCGCCTGGCAATGGAATGTCAGAATTGAGTCAACCCTCTGAGTCTTGGTAGTCCAGTTGCTGTGCCAGGTGAGTCCACAGAACTCCAGGGCACTCTGGAATTAAGTAAGCATGATGTGTAACTCGGAGACAGGGAAGAGTGCATTCTATTCCAGATACAAGAAATTTCAATGGATAGCTGGCGTGCTAACTCTAGTTTAGATACCCTTAAGCATGTTGCTGGGTATCCGTGTGAGTCGGACACACGGCTGACCAAAGCGAAAGATTACTTCGCAAGTGCGGTTGGCTGAGGGGTTTCCCGGTGGGGTGCGGGGGGTAACTGAGCATTCACTGACTTCAACAATATGCTCATAGTTTGAAGAGTGAGACCGTTTGTGAGATAGCCGCTTCACCTGAGGATCGGGAATTTGAAATGTGATGATGATAATCCTTGGATTTGATGTAGTGTCTTATCACATGGTTGAGTCATCTCAAAGAGCTTCACAGGATATACTGTAAAGTGGATTAACTGTATTTTGTGGGTGAAACATGGCAGCCATTTGCGCACAGCAATGTCAAACAAACAGCCACGGAGTGAGTGATTAATTTTATTTAGATGGAGAAATTGTTGGTCGGGAGAGAGAAGCTCCCATCCCTTTTCGATTAGTGCCATGTAGCCAAAGATTGCCATTGTCAGACTGATTGATTTGGGTTCTCAAGTCACTGTCTCAGCTCATCTTGCAAGTCATGATACATTTGGCTTATTTTAGTCTGTTTTCGGTTAAAGGCCTCTTTCCCTCCCCTTCTCCTGATTCTGGCTAAAACTGGTTAATCGTGCTGTAATCCTGTCTAAACCTGCATCTTGCTATTGCATTGACGCAGCTTTCAGGATGGCGAAGGCCCTCATATTGTCCCGAGTCCCAGCTTTAAGACCTTCTGGCTTGAGTGGAATTTTGCCAACTTCCCATTTCCGTTTGGAAGCCAGTTCTCTTCAGCAAAGCCGGAAATCCAATCTTGGGACTAGATTTAAGAATTTTACAGAAATGTCTGCCCAAGTGGACAGGCTTAAGCTTGAGACTGCAGAGAATGGTAATAAATAATTCTTGCATTTGATACAGCTCCTTATCACGTCTTCGCGCCGTCTCTAAGTGCTTCACAGAATACATTCTAAAGCGAATTGACTGTATATTTTGTGGGTGAAGTAAACTTGCCCAATGTTTCGACCTACCTGGGAATCAAACCCAGGTCCTCTCGCTTGCGAGGTGAGTGCTCCAACCATAAACTACAAGACTCCACATTTTAGGGGCAACTCGAAGTTGGCAGAATTCTGGGGCACGTGTTTGCTTATGACTGAACTGAGACGGCTTAAAGATGTACTTCTGCAGGCAATAAACAGAGTAACATCCACATAATTTGCGGACTCCTGTAGCATATTGGTTAACAAACTCGTCTCACAAGTGAGAGGATCCTGGGCTGGATAAAATCTTAGGCAAATTTTCTTATGGCTCACACCTCTGTTTACCTAGCAGTAAAGAGGGACCCGGTTGTTAGTTGATTGCCAGATCTTTTCTGGGGGTAAAAATTCTTTTTTTAAAAAAATAAATCAAACAATAGTAATAATTTGGTAACTCAGTCCACTACTGTTGTGGGATGCTGCTGTGTGCAATTGGCTGCTGCATTTTGCCCACAAAATATACAGTAATTCACTGTACAATATATTGTGTGAAGAGCTTTGCGACGTCTCAACAACATGATAAGGTGCTATATCAATTATAAGGAATGTTATAAACATCCAACCCCCATCAGTCGGCATTGACCTGTCCAGCCCTGGATGCCCAGCATTACCTGTCTCCTCACACTTATCCAGTGATTCTGGTTAAAGCGTATTTGTTTATTAACAGCTTTCACAAGCACTTGGGTTGGGAGGTAACTGCAGTACATAAGATGTTTCGACTGTAGAACACCCGCAGGCTATTTTCGTACACCCTAGGTGCCCGCCTTTGTGTCTTAAAACACAGCTGAATGATTGTTGTAATCCTATCGTAGGAAGCCTGATTAAATGCCTGGATTATGTCTTTGACCGAAAAAGAACCTGTGTGGTGGGCTTAATGTGTGGGGACGGAGGAGGTAGGAGAGAGAGAGAGAGAGACACACACACACACGCACACAGTCGAGCAGGGAGCAAGCGAGGTGGGGAGGAGAATGGCGGAGAGCAGCAATGAACCGGATCAATCATGTGAGTGTGTATGAGCGAGAGAGAGAGAGAGAACCAGCATCAGGTCACGTGCTTCCAGGAGGGGATGACTGCTTTGCTGACTCATTCAGCACGAGGCATTCCATGATCCCAATCACATGATAATGAATCCACAGAAAATCGCTAGCAGCATTTTTATTTCCCCTCTCCCTCCGCCCCCACCACCCCGCCCCACATTAACATCAAGCCGCTTTGATTTCTACTAAACGCAGACCTAAGGTTCTGTGATTGTAAAAAAGCTTTATTATTTAAACAAATTATTTAAACAAGCTGGGAACTTTATTTCTGACCTCCAGATCCACTCACTGCGCCAATCGATGTATTGTGTCTGAGAGATTAAGTGACCTCTAGGCACGGTTCCTACATCATTACAAAACCCATTCTCCGCTTGTTAAATAAAGTTCGGCATGCAGCTTTATAATTAATACCTTGCGTGCAGTACTCTGTACAGTAGCCAGTTTAAAGGAGAATGTAAGAACACAAGAATTTGCTAGGCTAGAGAAGACCAAGGTCTATCCAGTTAACTTTCCACCACCCTGGCAGTCACATACACATGTCTTTGCAAAAATATTTTCACATATAATATAAATCTTCCTAATTTGTTCTTTTTCTGCTGTCTCAGTTCATCGAAAAATATTGCTCTGGGTTTACTTTCTCCGCCCCATTTAAAAATCTCTTTCTCCTCTATGAAGTCACCTCTGAGGGGTCTCTTTCATGATTGATGTCTTGCAACTTTTAGCACTTACTTTGGCTCAGCGTTTCCCTCTGATCAGTAAAAACTGGTCTCATCTGCTGTAGCCTCATTATCCCCATCTGCTTCTGACTAAAAGTGGAGGGATTAGTACAAAACTTTTCTGGTTAGGAAGGTTTTCAAGCTTGCATGTTTAAACTTGTGGGTGTGATTTGTGGGCAGGTGTTCTGTGCAATGTGAAGTTCACCCCAGGTGTTTTAAGGTGTTTTGTTTCTTATCATTAAAATAAGCTGCAGTTGTGTATTTGTGTATTTGCAGTTGTGCCTTTCCCGTGTACTTTGTGAACAGTACAATTTTTATTATAATGCACGTATCATTAATGACAATAGTTGTTGCTTTTGATTTAGCACCTTATCACATCTTTGAGTTGTCTCAAAGTGCTTTGTAGGATTTACTGTAAAGTGTAGGGTACTGAGTCATTTGTAAACAAAGCAGCCAATTTATGCGGCTGCTATGTCCCACAAACAGCCGTGAAATGAGTGACCAATATTTATCTGGGGGATTGTTGGCCAGGACACCGAGAGAAACTCTTCTTTCTCTATTCGAATAACGCCATGGGATCTTTCATGTCCACCTGAACGGGACCTTGGTTTAATGAATCATCCAAGGTATGGGCTAGCCTTACGTCTAGTTCAGTACAGCAGATAGAGGTAATGGGAAGTGGAATTCTCATTGTTAATGAGATGAACGTTTTGGTGACTGGTGGTTTGATGTGACAATGGTGTCTGCAGCTGCTTTGTTTTGTGTGGGAATGAATCTCATTTCTGTTGAGAGGTTGTAACCTGGTTTCCGTTTTACATAGATACATAGAAACAGGAGTAGGTTATTCAGCCCCTCAAGCCTGTTCCACCATTTTATACGATCGTGGCTGATCTGTACCTCAAGTCCAGTTACCTGCCCTTTCCTCATATCCCTTAATGCCTTGACCTAATAAATATTTATCTACCATCATCTTTTTTTCCATCACAACTAAAAGACAGGCTTGTGTTTCAAATCAGTCACCTGTAAAGTCCAGGTATCGCGTTTCAAAGTGCGTTAACAGATCGTTGGCTCTCTCTGAGGATACAGTGGGGAAACGGCTAAATGTCACCGTTTGCGTAAGTTTGCCAGTGAAAGAGTGGAGAGGTCCCTGAGAACAGTAACATGACCGTATTAATAATAATAATTCTTGCATTTGATATGGTGTCTTATCCAGTCTTCGAGCCATCTCAAAGCGCTTCACAGGATATACTGTAAAGTGGATTGACTGTGTTTTGTGAGCAAAACTGGCAGCCACTTGTGCACGGCAGTGTCCCACAAACAGTCGTGGACTGAGTGACCAAATTACAATTATTATTAGTTATTCTTTGAAGGGATTATTAACCCCAGAAATCAATCTGCCAATTGACTAACAACCCACAAACAGCCATTGTATTTTTTAAAACCTCCTCTTTACACCCCCCACCCCACTCCTCCCAAAGGAGAAGCTGGTTTGTACAACATTAGGGATGAGGTTTGGAGACCTGCTTTTTGTCGACATCAGTGTTGTTTTTAGTGTTTCGGCCGCTGAAATCTGAAAGGGATGAAGGGCCAAGCATTTAGCAGTTGGTGTCTCTCTGGCTGTTGTGTGTCTGACCATGTGCTTGGCTTCCTCTCTTCTAGGCGCAGTACTATGGGGAGATTGGCATTGGCACCCCACCACAGCCCTTCACCGTGGTCTTCGACACCGGCTCTTCCAATCTCTGGGTCCCTTCCGTTCACTGCTCTATGTTCGACATTGCCTGTTGTAAGTACATGGGTGTCTGTGGGCCGCAAATCAGCACATGGGTGTGTGGGGAGGGTGGGGGAAGAATAATCCTTACATCTCATCTTCATGTTGGGAGAGCATCTCAGAACACTTCATAGGATATACTGTTAATGTGTCGTTAAAGGCAGTGAACCCGTTGTTCTCTTGTCTCCATAGGAAAAGACCAAGGTCCATCTAGCTCACCTTCTACCATCCTGATAGTCGCTTGCTACAATATGTGCATGTGTGGCAGCTGGATGGGGAGAGGTCAGACTCTGTTCACTTAATATCAAAACTCACACATGAGTTGGGGAGAAGGGATGCCAGCAAGGCAACCAGTATCCGTGGAACCAAACCCCAGAAACAGGAGGTCAGATCAAGGGCGTCGGGGCACCTTCTAGTGGGGAGAGAATTAGAAAAAAAAAATTTTTATTTGTTGTTCCCAGTGTTGCATCACAAGTATAACTCCGACAAGTCCAGCAGCTATGTACGCAACGGGACCAAGTTTGCCATCCGGTATGGTTCTGGAAGCCTGTCTGGCTACCTCAGCAAGGACACGGTTCTGGTAAGTGCTAATGTTTTCGATGTTAATGGGAGTTTAGCCCTGAGTACACGCAGGCTGCTGTTTGTTGTTTCCATGCTGACGTGTCTGCTCCTTGCTCTCAGCGGTCTCCGGTCTATTCCATGTCTCCCCCACCCCCCAACCACCATCGGCAATTGGGCCTTCAGCTTTTCCTCCCCCACCCTCTGAAACTCCATGCCACAATTCCTTCGCCTCGGCCCCCTCCCTTTCTTCCTTCAGGGCCCGTCTCAAGACCCTCCCCTTCGACCGCATCTTTGGTCACGCTCATAGCCCTACCCTCCACCCTTCCTGAACCCAACCCTCAGCTCGAGTACACATTGTTGACTGTCTAGAGCCTTGGGATGTCCTGTCGACTTGAAAGGGGCTGTGCAAATGCAAGTTGTTGTTGAATGGTGTTTCTGATCTGCTTTAGGCAGGCAGGTGCACCCAGATGTTAATGGAGGACAGACAGTTGGCCTCTTTAGTAGCTCCACATTAGAGGCAGAGTAGGATGTTTTTAGCTCTCTCTCTCTAATCCGATCCTGGTTGCTGACCCACTTTTTTTGTACATCAACAAGGGACCTTCTGGAAGGAGTTAAAAGGCTGTAATTCAATGAAGCGCAGTGATGTTCTAAATAGCTGGAGGGGAGCTTGGTTTCTGAAATAAGAGATGGCTTGTATTCTTCCAGCCCTTTATCGCATCAAGACATTTCGAAGCGCTGTACTGTGATCGCTGTGCAGTGAGGTGACTGTAGATGCACAGGGCAGCAAGTTTGAGCTCAGCAAAGTCTTGCGTTTCAGCCGTGAGATGAATGACCAATTCCGAAGCTCTGCATTTGAGATGGAGCCTGCAATGTTGGCAGGCATCGCCAAGTACTTAGCAAATAATTGTTTTTGATTGCAATGACTGTATTTGCACACAGCGAGATCCAACAAGCAAACCATAAGGTGAACGGGCCTGCGTATCAGGAGGGTTGTTGGTCAGAACATTAGGACAAACTTCTTTATCTGGATAGTTTTAAAGTCTTATCTAAAGGGCGGAATGCTCAGTAATGCAGTGCTCCCTTAGTCTGGATAAGGAGCTTGGCTCCTGATGAGATGCAGTTTATATTTATACGGCACCTTTCTTGTTGGGAGGACGTCTCAAAGCATTTTGAAAATATACAATCAATCAATTCAGTTTACAGTATATTTGAGATGTGAGAAAACCCTTCTTTTTCAATCCTCAGTTCTTACACCCTTTAACCTCTGGAACTCCCTCCATCTCACCCCCTCTGTTTCTGTCTTAAGTCCCACCTCAACTCCTACCTCTTTGAATGTACCTATGACTCAGACGTTGCTTCTTGTGGAGGTAAATGCAAGCTGTTAATGAATGATGAACGTTTTCTGCTAGGGATAGTGCTAAATCAACAACAAATTGCATTTATATAATGTCTTTTACTTCGGGAGAACGTCTCAAGGGGCTAGACAGTCAAGGGATTGCACCCGAGCTGCAGTCTGGAGTTGAAGGGTGGAGGGAAAGGAAAGTAGTGAAGGTGCGGTCGAAGAGGAAGGTCTTGAGAAGGGCCTTGAAGGGGATAAGGTGGAGGGGCTCCAGGATGGAGTTCCAGAGGGTCGGGGCAGAAAGGCTGAAGGCCCAACTTCCGATGGTGACTGTGGGATCATGGAGCAGACCATTGCCCCCCGAGCTGAGGGAGCGGACAGGTTGGTAGAGTTTTAGAACCTACGTCTTCGACCTGGAGTCCTGTAGCTCAATGGTTAAAGCCCTTGCGTCGCAGGAGAGAGACCTGGATTCGATCCCCGTCAGGGTGAAATGTTGGGCATGTGTCCTTATATTATACGCCTCTGTTTACCTAGCAGTAAGTAGGAAACCAGTTGTTAGTCGATTGATAGATCGCTTTTCCGGAGTAATAATTCCTTCGAAAAAAAATAATAATTCGGTCACTTCAATCCACGACTATTTGCGGGACACTGCTGTGTGCAATTGGCTACCGCGTTTCGCCCACAAAATATGCAGTCAATTCACTTGACAGTGTATTCTGTGAGGCACTTTGAGACGTCTCGAAGACGTGATGAGGCTCTATATCAAATGCAGGGATTATTATTATACTATAATCTCACAGATTGGGAACATCAAAGTGCAGAGCCAGCTATTCGGTGAGGCCATCAAACAGCCGGGCCTGGCGTTCATCGCGGCTAAGTTTGACGGGATCCTGGGCATGGGCTACCCCTTGATCTCTGTGGATGGAGTCATCCCGGTCTTTGACAACATTGTGACTCAGAAGCTGGTGCCAAATAACGTGTTCTCCTTCTACCTGAACAGGTAAGAACAGCACCTCAGGAGGGAACATTCACTCGCTTATCCTCGCCCTCACTTTCAAAGCTCCCCACAGCCTTGCTCCTGTCTACCTCTGTGACATGCTAACTTCATACCAATTTGCCCCCTCACTCTGCTCAGGCCTCTGGCCTGATCCATGTCCCCCACCTGCCCCAACATCGGCAGTCGGGCCTTTCTGCCCCCACCCTCTGGAACTCCATCAGCCTAGTCCCCTCCTTGGCCTCCTTCAAGGCCCGTCTCAACACCCTCCTCTTCGATCGCACCTTTGCCCTGCCCTCCACTCCTCCTAATCGCAACCTCCAGCTTGGGTGCAAATCCTTGACTATCAAACGCCTTGGGACGTCCTCCTGACGTGAAAGGTGCTATACAAATGTAATTTGTTGTTGTTGTCAGTGCTGGCAGTGAGTATGGTTTGCTTGTTCCACATCAGGTTCCGGGCATGTGGAATGACTAGTTGAAGTTCAGTCGGGGCTCATTGCTGAGCACACGTCACTCTGCAGGCCCGAGACCTTATTAAGTGATTGTGCTCACAGGAACCCGGACAGTCTACCTGGAGGGGAGCTGATTTTGGGCGGCACCGACCCCAAATACTACACTGGAGACTTCCATTATTTGAACGTCACCCGCAAAGCCTACTGGCAGGTGAAGATGGACGAGTAAGTGCAAAGTTCAGAACTCTGCTCCGTCGTGAAACTGAAGCATTTGTCTGCAAAGCTGGGTTCAAGCGCGTTACAAGAAACTAGGATCCCATGACTCCAATCAAAAAAGGGGAGTTTCTCCCGGTGTCTGACAATCACCCAGATAAAATTAGTCATTCACTTTATGGCTATTCCACACACATTGCTGTGTGTGAATTGGCTGTCATATTCACCTACGATAGCCTCATTACACTCTACGCTCAATATTATATTATAAAGTATTTTGGGATATCCCGACCGATATGACAGGTACTGTACGTGAAAATTGCAGATCCCTGACTCCAACACCTTGGGACGTTGTCCTGATGTGAATGGCGCTATACAAATGTAAGTTGTTGTATGAAATATAAGGATTGTTGTTTATGCACGATTCCCTTAATGCAGGGTGTCTATTGGTGAGCAACTAACTCTGTGTAAAGGAGGATGTGCAGCCATTGTAGACACAGGGACCTCACTGATCACTGGCCCGGCCCAGGAGATCAAAGCCCTACAGAAAGCCATTGGAGCTATCCCTCTGATTCAGGGAGAGGTAAGGACTGAATTTACAATGTGGAATTCAATCTGTTTATGAGATTTCTTCCAATGGTCAAACGTGTCATTTCTCCATCATCTCATCCTGTCTATATCTTCGACATCCTGTCCAAATGAAACGATTTGACGCAAATGTACCTCTTCCTTTCAGTACTTGATCGACTGCAAAAAAGTGGCCTCGCTCCCTGCCATCAACTTCAAGTTAGGTGGCCAGGTCTACACACTCACTGCAGAACAGTACGTCCTTAATGTAAGTGGAGGTCGAATGAGTTGGTAGGAGATGCCAACTTTCTTTATCAATATTATTCTTGGCCATTGGTGCTTCAGAGGGAGACAGACACTGGTCCTCACCACCCAGGTTGCTGCCAACAAAGCTCTCACCTCAGGAAAGACTGAGTGACTTCATGTTACTGAGCAATCTAGTAGGTGGGCTCCTGTGCCTGTTGTAAAGTGTAACCACACACACACTTTCACATACTCCTGGACTCCTGCTCTCTCAGCATGTTGCCTAAGCTGAGATCGTATAAATGCGAGTAGGAAATCAAGACTATTTTATCTGGTTTGTGTGGCTTGGGGCTGCACTTGGCACAGTTGGCCATCAGGCGGCGCTCTGAGACTGCACCACTGGCTCATTGCTGTTAAAGCTGTTTGGTTTAGGATTGGGTTATGGTAGTGCGTTGCCTTAAGGTGTATTTATTATGCTTTCAGGAAACCCAAGCTGGCCATTCCATCTGTCTGAGTGGCTTCATGGGCCTCGACATTCCACCTCCCGGTGGCCCCTTGTGGATTCTAGGAGATGTCTTCATCGGCCAGTACTACACCATGTTTGACCGGGAGAAGGACCGCGTTGGATTTGCGAAGTCCGTGTAGCCAGGGCACCGACACGCCGCAGTCTGGAGATCAAAGTTGCACTAATTGTCCCACTAAAAACAATCTGTATCAATAAACCCTCCTGTAGGCTAGTTATGATCACAAGGTGATATTCCCGTGATTACCTGGGCGACAGGCATTGTCTGTAAACTTCCCAGTTTGGAAAGAGCGAGACATGCTGCAGTAATGTAATCATTCAGGGTGTTGGTTAGCCCACGTTTTTTATTTTTAGAATTTCTGAAAAGTTCCTGGCCCAAAAGCGATTTTTTTATGTTTCTTTCTGTTCATCATTGTAAAGCCTTGTTGGCTTTCCACAGTTGTAAGATTTGAGTAAACAATAAGGTTACAGTAAGGAATTTTACAGTGAAATTGAGGTGGGGGATTATTTTAGAGTGGGATTTGGCGGGGGATTCCTTTATGATACGGTTACGGTGAGATTATGGTGGGAATTAGTTGAGTGTTTATATTTCAAGAATCAAAATTCCTACCAGAATATTTTCAGGTGTTGGCCTGTGGGAAAGTGTTGACGGGGAAAGAAAAATGCAAATTCAGGATTTTACTGATCTTTAATTTCTTGGGAAAAGAGGAAGAAATGGAAGGGGGGAAAGTTGTGCGATCAAAGGAAACTGAGGGTTTCATTGACTTGGTTTTTTTTTCCAACTTCCCTGAGGTGACAACACTGGGGAATTGTCCAAATGCTTTTTGTTAATGGCTTTAGCTTATTTTATTTTTTGTGTGTTTTCAAGAGTTTCCTTAATCTGTAACAGTATGTTTTTGTTTGGAGGTGGATGTGATCAAATGGAATAAAGTGTCGCTGTAACTGGGTTTGTGTGTGTGTATTTTGATTTCAAGGTCCTCACACTCTCACCTACAAATAATCGTCACAAATCCAACCACTCCCATGGCACCTCATATCTCCGAACCTCTCCCACCAAACTCCTCCACTCAGCTAAACATGCTATGCATCCCCTGCCCTCTTTGTGTTACCATTAGTGGCCCAGTCTTCCTGGTTCCTCCTTTCTTAATCTCTGGAACTGTCTCCCTCCACCACTCTGCCCCCTTTTCTTTCTTTAAGTCAAATCTTACCTCGTCAAACTCATCTGTGTCCTCGCCCTTTGTTTTGTTGACACTCAGCAAGCAGTATGTTTGAATGCAGCAAAGCCCCATAAACAGGCAGGAAGTGAATGAGGGATTTTATGCTGGATGGTTTGTGACCCAGAACAGTGGGGGGATTCTCCCTTCTAATTCTGAAGTGTTAACATTCCCCAAACAGGGAGCTGGGACCTCAATTTGTGACATCAAAAAAGTAACTACACTAAACTCCTGGTAACTTGACCCTGTTTTAACTTGTCACTACCACTATATCATCATGCTGTCAATGTTCTGGCTGCATTTCTTTATTTATACGTATGCTTAACTCGTCACTGCTGATAACTCCTTACGGAGATCCCCTTTCCCTTGGAATGACGAGTTATCATTAGTTTGTATATCTTGTTTGGATAAACTCACTGAGTCTGATGGGGAGTTATCTGTAAACCCAGGATTGGCTGCACAGTGATTGATTGTGACAATAAATTCAGATGCGACGAGATGAACTCAAGTGATCTATGTTTGAATTGTTACTGAGAGAAATGGAAAATGTACATTTTTGTCAGTTTGGTTCAGTCAGAAGCATTCTCGCCTCTGAATCACAAGGTTCTGGGTTCCAGCATCATATCAAGACTGAGCTCACAGTCCAGGCTGACACTCTACTGCATTGGTGGGGGAACGCTGCATGGTTGGAGATGATATCCTCTGAATGAGGTGTTCAACCGAGGTTCCATCTGTGCCTGTAGAGGTGGACATGAAAGATCCCATGGCACTGAAAAGAGAAGTTTCTCTTGGTGTCATGGCCGATAACAATAATCTTTGACTTGAAATAAAATAAAATTGGTGATTCACTGTTTTGGCTGTTTGTCAAGACATTGCTGTGCACAATTTGGCTCCTGGATTTTGCCACAAAATACAGTTACTACACTTTACAATACAGTATATTTGTGAAGCGCTTTGTGACGACCCCTGACATGAAAGGGGTTGTATCAAATGCAGTATCACAGGAGAACAGTTTTAAATCCTGGCAACCTCTTTTATCGGGAGAAAACAGCTCCAGGTCAGCCATGATTAGGCAGCAGAGGGTTGGCTTTAGGGGGTGAGAATGCTGCTCTTAGAAAATGGGTCTCTCGGTTGTAACGTCGTGAATCCAAACTAACCTGCTCTTCTGGGATGGTAAATCTGTGCTGGTGGTAAACTTCACCACCTAGTGGAAATATTGCAGCAGTGAGTCTAACTCCCTGACACTGGCTGGCACTGAAATGACAAGAGTTGTGGGAGCTGAATTTGTGGCCATCCAGTCGAGAGAGACAGAAACATTTGTGAACAAGTCTGATTGCATTGAGTTCTGTGCTTTATCTCCCAATAAAAATTCAAACCAAACCTGACCAGCTTTTGACTCTCTTTCTGGGGTTGCTGAGGAGGATGTAAACAGGGTCTCCTGGCTCTAAGGTGCTTGACAAACGATCGTTGAAATCGAGTCAATCCTCTGTGGCGGTCTTGATAGTATGGTTCCTAAGCCAGGAGAGGGGGGGGTGTCCGTAGCACTCCAGGACACTGCTGATGTTAACCCTGCTCATTGACATGACTTGGAAGGGCAGAGGGGCAGATCAGGCACCGGGGGAGGTATTGTTCCCGCTCAGCTCTCTTAAACCTAGGATGTACCCAAGTGACCATTATTCATGTGTGAGTTGCCTTGGGGAAAAGGAGGTTCACACGGGCAAGGTGTCAAATGGACACATACACACTTGTTCAAAGCATGAATATTTTAATATGGTTGACATTCACATTTCAATACGCTGCTGGCAGCAATTCATAAGCATGTTCCCTTCCTCCCCCACCCCACCCCTGCCCCAACCTCTCTTTGCATTACTGATGTCAGTCAGTCGCTGGCAAGGATCATTTACTTCATGGCTGTTTGTGGAACTTTGCTGCGTGCAAATCAGCTGCAGTGTTCTCCTAAAAAAATACAGTCACTGCACTCAAAGGGAGTATATCCTGTGAAGCACTTTGAGACTCCCCCTCCCCACCCCTCTGACATGAAAGGCACTATAACAAGCATAAAGATCATTATAATATCCTCATTCTGCTCGTCAATGTTACATTTTAGCTTTTAATCTGTGTCTCAGTTCTCTCTGGAACTCAAGGAACAGAGTGTGTTCCTCTGGACTCCATATCAGCAAAAAACAAACATGTGGAACACTCCGAGATGCTATCCTTCATCAAGTCCACAATATATAAATGCAGGTTGTTCTTATAACACCAAGGAGTGTGGTTTAGATACTCTTAAGCACAGGGTTGTGTCTCCATGTGTGTCAGACTCCTGTCTGACAATACAAATAATTTGAATATTAAATAGAAATCACTTTGCTAAAATGTATGTTGTTGTTATATTGACACTGGAGTCTTTATGCCTGTTGTTTTGAGTTCAGTAACTGACACCAGAGCTGAATGCAAACTGCTGCACACAAGGAGTCAAGTTGTCTCCTACACAGTCCTCTGCTTTTGTAACTTCGATTGGTAATGGTGAGTTGCAGGGATACAGTTCACAAATTCGGGTGAAGGCGTCCAAACTCACCATCAATCACCATGTTCTGGCAAAAGGGCGATTTAGAAATAACAGGCAGCAATGAATGGCCTCTACTGAGGGCACATGCTCTCCACTTCCTGCCTAATTTCATTATAACATGGGCAGTCACATTGGGTGAGGAAGTGGTTACAGGTGGATGGATTACCGTGGATGGAGTCTGGTCTCTTTGAGGTAGGAATGGAACAGTTTACTCCTGTATAATACGCTGAGACAGCATCACTGAAAATTATTGACAAATATATTTGATTTTTTTGTGCGAAAGGAAGTATCTCTCTGCAAAGCTGCAAAAGAATATCTGCTCGTATATGGTTTATGAAAATAATATATACTTTTAATAGCATTTTTGGATATGCGGTAATTTCTGTCTGTGAGATATAGGTTTCTTTTAAGGATGCCTCTGGTTATATGTTGGTTTTGGTCCAGTTAAAATGAGGGGAAAGGCACAATTATTACACTTGATTAAGTGAAGAGCGCGGCTGGCCAGCAAACACTCAGTGTAGCACATCTCTGGCAGGTGTAACAGATGAAGCTAATTAAGTTAACTTAAATCTGATTAATATCTGTGACCAATAAAGAGAATTGGAGACCCTTCTTTTCAGCTCTATTATTTTTTTTCCCTTCAAATCTCAGTAAAAGTTTTACACCTTTTTTATTTTAGTCTCTTCAATCCCATCAATTGACTAACAGCAAAAAAAATCCATTTTTTATATATGTTATATCAGATACGATCTGATATATAAACGTGTGTGTAAATATATATATACTTTTGTATATCAGATGCTTTGCCACGCACTTTCTCTACAATGATGAGGTTAATGGGTCTGTGGGGATGTGTGTGGAGGGGAGAGAATCTCGCTGTTTTAGTTAAGTTTCGCTGGTAAAGAAGCTGTAGGAAAGTTTCTGAACGACAGTACTGTTCTGTTCTGAATTTTCTCTGATCATAAGTTCGATCTTGTCCAATGCCTAGCCTCTCGATGGGAGCCACGTGGATCGGGCGTTTCAGGGTTATAATTGTCAGCCTCTCTGACACAGCGAAATACTCCACAAAGTTTTTTTTTCTCTTTTAACTTTGTGGAGTTTTGAATGCTGCATTTTCTCTGACTGTTTCATTCGGACCAGTAGCTGTTATACCCACCCCATAGCTCAGCAATGAGACTGCAAATATCCTAATTTACCCCCCTAAATAAAGGTTGAAGCAGACTGTTATTGAGTGCCAGCATCGCCTTTACCTGTTAGAGATCAACAGGTCAAAGTGAGAGGCAATTTAACCAGGGCACGCCAGTGGGGCAGAGAGCTGAAGTCGCTTATCCGCCATTGACTGTTATCCATAATCCAAAAATCCAGATCGCCGTGTGTGTGATCAGACAATACTTATGATTAATAATAATCGATTTTCCCTCGGTTACTGTTTCTGCAACAAATAAATAACCTTCATGAACTTTCTTAACCAAGACCAGGATTTTTTTATAAATACTTTTTTTTTATTATTTCGCATTTCTTGGAACAGTTTTTTAGCATTCACACAGGAGATAAGATATATAAATATATATTTTTCTTACGTTGGCACATCAAACCAAGCATTTCTATAAATGAGCGACATTAAATATTTCAACGGATTTCGCGAGGAAAAAAAAAGCAACTCTTATTTACAAGTATGCACAACGCTTTACAAAATAAAAAGTGGTCCACAATTTATATTTTTTTTGACTTTTTTTTGTGGGGGCAATGGTCATGGGGTTCAAGAATAAGGAGATTGGAGTTAAACGTGTTTCGATTGCAAAAACATGATCTTCGGTAAGATTCGGAAGCGCTTTGAGACATCTCGACGACGTGATAATAATCCTTGCATTTGTTATAGTGCCTTATCACATTGTTGAGATGTCTCAAACCGCTTTACAGAATATATTGTAAAGTGGATTTGACTGTGTATTTTGTGGGTGAAATGTGACAGCCAATTGTTCACAGCAATGTCCCATTTTTTTTGAGGGATTGCTACCCCTGGAAAGCGATCTGCTAATCGACTAACAACTGAGTTCCTACTTACTGCTGGGTAAACAGAGGCACTATATCAAATGCAAGGATTATTATTATCATTATCATGATCGCAGGCATTCAATTGAAGTTACCAGGGTGGTTTGTGTCATTGGTCTGTCCTTGCATTACTTTGCTGTAGAAGATCTCTCTGTTAGTGCGACTTCCCTTTTGTTGGTTCGTCCCTTTGCAGTGATAAATCTCGACTTGACTGGCATTTGTTTGCCCTCAGTGTGGTTATAACACCTGGTAGATGGGGTTGTCGGTCGGGACCTCGGTGCGGGTACAGTTCGCTGGTGATAAGATGATGGCCGTGGGGTCACTCAGGGTCACTCCTTCCCGGGGGGAAGTGGGGTTGCCCTCCATCCCATCTGGAACCATCACGACGGGACAGCTTGGCCGGTCTGTGGAAATCCGCTCGACGATGCTGGAGAGACAGTCCAGGCTGGAAATAACGGCACTTTTTCCAGTTCTTGAATCTAAAATACAAGATATTACAAAGTGATCAAAAGGCAAATCACATGGACTGTCAGCATTAAAATAGTCACAATAAGGATCCACCCTGACCAATGCCTTAAATACCTTTTTAAAAAAATATATAGACTTCGACTGATGTAAAGCATCACTTGTTTGAAATTGATACGCTGTGTTCACTGTGTTTCTCTGTAAAGGAACTGCAGGTCGATGACCCAAAATGCATTTCTTGTTAGAAGAGACCCAGATAACGGTTTTAATATAAATCTATCTTGCTGGCATGTTCCTACAAAATCATTGATATCAATGTGAAGTCCAGCTCGCTCCTCACTCTGTACATTTGGTTGGTTGCTGGTGTGGAGGTGTGGGTTAATATTAGTGTGTAGTGGTTAGTGAGACAGGAGTGGGTTATTGTTGGTGTGAAGTGTTAGTGAGTCACTATGGGTCAGTATTGGTGTTGTGTTAGTCAGTATAGCTCAGTTTTGGTGTGTAGTGATAGTATGGGTCAATATTGGTGTGTAGTGCGCCCTTTTCCCAGGTGTGTTATTTACTGGAATCTCCCTGTGTTTTTTTTTCCCCCTTTTAATTTGCACTTGGTTTGTTTTTCTTCCCTCTGAAGACTTACCATTTGGTGTTTCAGAGAAGTAGTTGCTGTCGTAATTATTGCGTCTCCTGGTGCACATGGGCCCGCTGCAATCCAACTGCCAAAGAAGAAGGTGTGGGTGGGGGGGTCAATATGGTTAGCCAGTGAAGAGAGCTCCTCTCCCCCTACCCTTCTAACCCCCTTCACAGCCACACTGCACTGGCCAGTCAATCAGGAGTGAGGGCAAAGAAAGATTTAAACCAGTTTATAAAACAAGTTGAAATCTGGTTTGATAAAAGTCAACACAGATAAACCCTGCTAGAGCGCCTGCCTTTATTTAAAGTTGTACAGCTAAAATAACTAAGTTTTTGGTCAAAAAAAAAGTGAGTAAGCTAAAACTCTCTACTTTATCATTAAATCCAGACAGATTTTTTTCTTTTGTTAAGCGAGATTGATTCTGGAAGTGAATGGTATTGTACATTTTTATGTATTTGTATAATTCATATTGTATATTATTATTATATTTTCTGATCTTTCCTCGCTTGCCTCTGCCTACCCAAAAAACACACAGCTTTATAGTACAACCCAGGGAAGCGCTTGGAAATGAATGGCGTAGGAGCAAACAAGAAGTATTATTATTATGAATTTTGCTGAACTCACAGCGATCCATTACATCACTACCTTAGGCAAGTTTCCTAACTCCACACATTTCTGTTTACATGACAGTACGTGGGAACCTGGTTGTTAGTCAATACGCAGATCACTTTCTGGGAGTAATAACCCCCCCACCACCCAAAAAAAATTGGATCACTCAAGCCACGACTGTTAGTGGGACACTGCTGTGTGAAATTGGTTGCTGCATTTTGCTCACAAAATACAGTCAATGCACTTGATAGTGTATACTGTGAAGTGGTTTCAGACGCCTCAATGAAATGCAAGGATTATTTATTATTATCATCACGACATCTCAAAGCACTTCATAATCTTACTGAGGATTGTGTTTTTAAAAGCAAAATACATTTTTAACTCCAATCTCCTTCTTCCACAAAATACACAGTCAATCCAGTTTACAGTATATTCTGTGAAGTGCTTTGAGACATCTTGAAGACGCGATAATGCGTTATATCAATTGCAAGGATCACTATTACTACTAGTAGTGGTAGTATTAGAAGGGGCTGCCTTACCATTCCATCAGAGCAGTTGGACTGGGGGCTGGAGGCGGCAGAATCCACACTGTATTGATCCATGACCGAGAAATAGGTGTCATCCTGATCTCTGAGAAGCGCCTGGAGACTCTCGATGTAGCGGATGGCGTTCCTCAGGATCTCCACCTTGGGCAGCCGCTGGTTGGGATTGGTGGACGTGCACCTCTTGAGCGTCTCGAAGGCTTCGTTGACCTTGCTCAGGCGCCTCCTCTCCCGCATGGTGGCCGCTTTCCTGCGGTCAGCATTGGTGGTTTTCCGCTTGCAAGCCTTGCACGCCCAGAGCAGGCAGCGGCCGGCTTGGTGATGCCCGCTGGGGGCTCGGATGTGCTCGTCCTCCGCCGACAAGGGGTCGCCTTTGAGGAGCCCCACGTGGACCAGCCTGGGGTCTAAATCCTCGAAGAAGTGGATGTCAGAAGTGGAGAAACAGGGGCCATCGTAGAAGTCATCGGCAGACGAGAAGGAGCAGAGAGAACTATCCGTTATCTCCATTGCTGGTCGGGGGGCGAAGGATGCAGAAGGGACTGAAGGTGGTGGGTGGGGGGAGGGGGGGCGGGGAACCTCACTCTGAGCCAGAGATCGCCTTCCCCTTCTCCTGTTTGCCTGTAACTGTTGTGTCGCCTTCGGGCTTCTTAGCACCGCTGAAGGCACTCACTCCTGTCCGCCTATTGCCCAATGCCTACTTTTTTGTCCTATTTATCCCGAACTTTGGGGGCAGAAGGAGCGAGTCCTCCCTCCTCTACGCCCAGACTGTCCCGCCAGCCAATCCGCTGGCCCCGGGGGCCGCCTTCCCTGCTCGGTGTCCGGGGTCTGATTGGCCCGAGCCCCGGTGTCTTGGTCAATTTCATCCCATCCTCAGTGCTGATCACTTAACATATGTCAAACCCTTTAGACTCAGCTCTTCAGCAGCACTTTCTCTCTCCTCTCTCTCTCTCTTTTCTCCCTCTCTCTCTCTCTTCTCTCTCATTCCTCTCCATTTACCAGCCAGATTTTTTTTTGTATGTGTGCATTAAATAAAGCAATAAATCCTGTCTGTGAGTTCAAGTGTTTTTGGGGGTCTCTTTCTCTCTCTCAAGAGTTAAATGCTTAATTTCTCATGTGTGTGTGTGTGTGTGTGTGCCCCCTCCCAACTCCCTCGTTTCTCCCACCACCCAAGTTATTGAGTTACTTGTGTCTTTTGCAAGCGGAGGGTAAAATAGCGGATCATTCCCCTCTTTTTGGATCATAAAAAAATATATATTTTTTTAAAAGGTCAACGAAAATTAACGACTGGTGCGGGACAGGAGGACCGAGAGGGGCTGCGGTTTGAGCACTTGGTAACGAAATGCTCCATTTAAAGGAGAGAGACAGACAGATAGAGAGAGAGAGAGAGAGAAAAAAAAATACTAATCATCAGAATAATCTTTTATGTCTGGATCCTTCGCCACCGCATCATTATTTTCGTGGACTTTCAATGGGTTTTAAATCCACTTGTTGCTGTTGTGCAACACTCAGCTCTGTGTGTGTGTGTGTGTGTGTGTGTGTTTAGGGGTTGTATTTGTCAAGAGACTGAATCTGAACAGTTTTGCACTTCTCGGAATGAAAACGTTCAATAAAAAAAAACCTGTCTCGGGCTCAAATATTCCACAAATATTGCATTTTCACGCGTGTTTTGGTGGGGTGAGGCTGAATACGTTTTTTTTTATCTCTCAACTTTATTATTATTATTATAACTCCCCTAGAAAGAGAGAGAGAGAGGGAGAGAGAATAGTTTTGTTGATGGTTCTTGTTGAAAAAGGGACACAGTCCATATGTACCAGTGGCACATTAAACCCGACCAGACTTGTGCCGGAGAGTGTTTCGGTTGTGATACTGAATACATGTGAGGGTCAGGGAGTTGGGATGGAGGTGAGAGAGAGAGGGAGAGATGGGAGTGAAATTTAGTGAAAGATAACAGCTCTACTTTAGGAAGTTTGGGGAGAATGAGTCTCTCTCTCTCTGTCTCTCTCTCCCCCCACCACCCAAAAAAACTCCCATCCATCCCTTTCCTACAGAGACATCAAAGCGTTAGGAAGTGAGACAGCTCAGCGCTAACCCGCTTCAGTGATGGAGCCACACTTTCCCCTCCAGCATCTGAGTCGCCTCTCTCACTCGTCTGTCCATTGCAACTCTCAGACCAAGTCTACTGGTCAAACTAAGCAGCTTCACTGAGCGGTTTGAAGCCCGACCCCGAGAGAACAAGGCAATCCATCTAATTGAATCTATCCAGATTCCAGCGACGAGGAAGTGGGAACCAACGTGTTGGGGAATACCAGGACCCGCTATCCCTCCCCATTCCAGTGCAGCACATGAGGCGCAATCAAATACCCACCGTTACATTGCAACACTTATTGGGCTTTTCTTTTTGCAAAGCGATGCTCTCCGTTAATTAAATGTCGCACTTTACTTTTAATTGCAACATCTTTTATATCTGATGCGCCTTTCACAGACTCTTAATCCCCTTCTCCCAACACTGTGTGCTTTCAAAAACTCTCAATTTTTCTCCTCCATTCCCCCCCCCCCCCAAAAAAAAATACTGACCGCAAAACAAATACGTTTTATTTTTATGAGCCTTGTGATGTTAGTTTCTCTGTGTGTGGGGGTGTGTGTGTGGGGGTTATAACCCGAGTATACTTGAACCCCGCACTGAAAATAAAAATCTTTTATTATTCAGTGACTTTATTTGGATATTCCAATGACTTCCAAAAAAAAAAAGAGGGGGAGGAAATAAAAACACAAAGCACTTTGCACTCAGATCTGCACCACGACAGTCAGTCAGTCAGTCTGTGTTAGACATTACCTTTCTTGTTTTTAATTAATTAAGGATTTGTCTGAAAATGGTTGAACTCCCCTTGAGAGAGAGAGAGAGAGAGAGAGAGAAAAAAACACTTGTGGGTTTGGGAAGCGCCGGGAGTGGGAACTCTTCTCACACACCGGGCTGTGTGGCAGAGGGCAGGCGGGCAGAGGAGCTCTGATCCCGGGGAGAGGAATGCCACAGCAGGGGGGGGGGTGTGGGGTGGGTGTTGGGTGTTGGGTTCCCAACAGTGACACACGAACCCTCCCTCCTCCACTCCCTCACACAACAAAGTCGTTGCTGGTCACATCCATAACACAGCGCTGGCGGTACAGCCCTCGGTCTCTCTCTCTCTCTCTCTCTCTCTGTGAGACAGGGCAGGAAGGTTAGGACAGATTTTGCTCATTCACTCAATTCGTTCGAATTGCTCTAAGATGCGCGCAGATCCAAACGGGAGCTGTTTATGTTGGAAAATCAGCCGCAAAATGCGATTTCTCTTGTTTTTTTAAAAAATTTTAGTAAGAACAAAGGTTTTGGGGGTTAAAACCAGGGGGAAGGTGATGGGTTTTTCGAAGTGAAGAATGATCAGTAGTTTTAGTGGCGATAAAGCGAATGGTGGAATATTTTGTATATATCTATATAAAATATCTAATATGTATATATAAGAATGTATAATAAACTATATAATATATGTATATTATATATATAGAATATTGTCCAGGACTTGGTAAAATACAGTACAGACTAACAGCACCGCTCCTCCAAAAGGGTTTGGGATCTTTATTGGAATCTCAGTACAAAAGGAATAAGAAAGCACTTTGCACAACACTGCCGTTGGAATACAGGGAATTTCAGTGAGAAAGCAAAGGGCGAGAGTAAAGGGTTAACACAGGCTGAACCCAGAGAAATCTCAGTCAACCGTCCTCTGTTTTGGCAAATAACAAAGTACTTTCATTTCTTTGTGCATAGAAAATATATATATTAACAAAACGCATCGTAAAAAATAAGACTCAAAGAGTTGCTGCGATAGAAACATTTCTGAACATGTAACCACATTTCTGGTGGGGCTTCTTTTGGGGGTTTCAGATCTTCAGTGCTGAGTATTCAAACATATCCCGTTGTTGCGTGTGTTTAAAAAGACTCGTAGTTAAGTTGGTTATTCAAAAAATATTGATTTCAAAAGCGAGTCGCTCAATTGCTGGAGGAGAATAGAATTGCTGAAAAGGTAGCAATTTGTTTTCGTTTAAAAAATCACCTTCAAAACACTGGTAGTGCTCAAAAGCCTTATTGCTCAGTGGTCAAATGTTTTAATGCTCGGGCAATGATGCCCATGACAGTGAAAGACTCCCAACAAACTCCACCACTTAAAAGTAGTCAGAGAAGGTGGGAGGGGGAGAGAGACTGTAGGACAGGCAATTAATGGGCCTCACTATTTCCCCCTATTGGCCATCTATTTACACTCAGTTAAAATCCCTTTTTTTTTTGGTGTGGTCAGCCTTGGTGTCTGACACATGAGGAAACCTCTTCACCTTGCTTATGAGTATCCAAACCAAATCGAGAATTCCATGCGTCCCACCTTTCGGACGTCTCAATGACGTGATAATATCAAATGCAAGGATTATTATTATTACTATTTTAAATCTTGCAAAAAAAAATCTCAATCAGATTAAATCTTGTGTTGTACCCTCAAACAATATTTACTTCATTTGAAACGGACGCATGTCTGGGGAAAACCTTTGTGAAAAGGGTCGAGCTTTTCAACACTTGCCTCCAATCTGTGCCTTTTTGGGGGGTAAATGGGAATATAAAAGAATCGTAAGACTAGAGGTTCTCTTAACCAAAGGGATCCATGGACAATTGAGTTGTTGAGTCCATCATAAGGGTTGCTTAAAACTGTTCGCTTGACCTGTTTTAATAATAATAATCCTTGCATTTCATCTATATCCTTATCAGTCTTCAAGACGTTTCAAAGCGCTTCACTGGATACACTTTAAAGTGAATTGACTCTATATTTTGTGGGTGAAACATGGCAGCCAATTGCACACAGCAGTGTCCCACAAACAGTCGTGGATTGAAATAATAATTCTTGTATTTGATATAGCACCTGATCACGTCGTTGAGATGTCTCAAAGCGCTTCACAGACTACATGTAAAGTACATTGACTGTGATACAAAATTACTACATACTGCTCAGTTGCTGTCGTTAGTAATGGACCCATTTGAGGAAGTAGAGGCCAGAGTAATTCTACAAAGGGAGGGAGTGGGCTCAGGGAAATATTGTGGGGAGCGGAACTGGGATCTTTGGTTTCGGGCTAGTCGAACATACTGGGATCACAATCTCAAGCAGATCCGTCCAACTCTTCCTGCAGCCGGTCGATCAAGTACTCCCCAAAGCTGCTCTCCCCCTCATTTGTACAGCCCAGCCTGTTGGCGTTGGTGATCAGATCGCCGGCCACTTTAATCTGTTGTATTTTGGGGGCGAGCAGCTGTTTCCTGATGAAGCTGGCTGTGTGAGGGTCCTTGCTCCCCTTGCTCAGCCAGTACAGCTCCTCCAGGAAAGTCGCCATCATTTTCCATTGATGGAGAGCAAGTTCCAATGCCTGCCGAGTGTTCCTGATCTCATCTGTTCTGGGTTTCTGCAACCGAGGCGGGGGAAGGAAGAGAATATTAATCTGACCAGTCCAGTGGCACGATTGAGTATTATTTTGCAAAATTATTAGTGTTCAGTCTGTTTGTCATTGTCTCTGCGTGTTATTTTTAGGTGCTCCGAGATGCTGCTGCTGAAGGCGCTATATAAATGCAAGTTGTTCTTGTATTAATAATAATTATTGTACTTGATTTGTTTTATTTTAGATGTTGTGGTCAGCCAAGTGTCTGACACATGCAAAACTCCCATCAAACTACTGAGAATTCCACGTATACATGGAAATTTCTGTTTGCCTGGTACGGAGTGTGGGCTCTCTCCCTCGTCCTCCCTCCATGGAGGGATGCAACTGTTTTTCACCTAATCCTGGGAAAGTATATTCAGGAGCAAGTTTGATGTCTCTCTTGTTGAGGGTTTCTTCTCAGGATCCCCAGTATAAACTAACTAGAACTTGCTTAATAATATAGGCTAATAATGGACAGGCCAGTACTGCTAATTATGGACTCATCAACCCAACGTGCCAAACCATATCCCAATTCTAGGAGGCCATTTGGCCTTCAAACCTACATTGATGCCTCCTCCTTTAATAAAGCTAACTTACTCTATTCCCAATTCTGTTCTTTACCAATTCTGCTTTATTTTATCAGGAGTGCAGCACTTATTAAAATCCAAAGCAAATTTATCATGATTCAAAACTAATCGATGGGATCTGGGTTAGTTAACACTTTATCCTAGTCTTTAAGAGATTAGCCAGTGTAGATTTAGCATTTGAGCCACATACATAGATCAACAAAATAAAATCTTAGGAGGAAAAAATTCCACTGGGACTAGATTCACTCTATTCACGTGGCATCTTAGAGTGTTCGGAAATTGGCAAATTGTTGAATCCATTCTTAACTTTGGTGCACTTTTCGTGCAGTTCTTAAAATAAATTTATACAAAAAACAGCTGCAGGATTAAGGCTGCATTTAAGAATTTGCTAAATTCTGAACACCAGGAAATGTGAATCGGGACCCAGGTAGAAATTCTTCCCTTGAGCTTAACTGTGTACAATTTACAGTAAAATATGACTTGCGCAGAATTTGAGATACAGGCAAATTTGAATAATCTATACTGCATATGCCTAATTCAATGCAGCCGGTAAGTGTGCATGCAGCGTTGGGAGGAAAGAGGAGTGGTGTTAGGAGATGATCTGCTTATAAAATATGAGCAGTGCAAAGAAATCTAAGTTTTGATGGGAAACTGAATGGGACTCGGCTGCATGTAAGACTTAGAAATTATATGGTTTATAAGGATAAGAGTTATGTGAGTTTTACTGTAGTACAATCATTGTGTTGCACAGTCTCTAATATGGTGTTCATGGAGTCTCAGGCTTGGTACACTCCTCTGTACCTGGATATCCTTGGCGCAGTAATGACCCCCTCGTTCGGTTTGATAATTGAGCAGTGTTTCGGCATTTTTCTCCTCCACTTCAGCAGCTTTGCGGAAATAACCGGAAACTCTCGGCAGAGCAACATCATCTTGTTGAAAAAGCTCCATCTGAACCCAACCCCAGCAACAACAAAATCTACATCAACGCTGGCTAACCGCCAGGTTTCATTCGTTAGTTACAACCTATCGCAATATAATGATCAGAATATTTGTCCATTTTATTTCTAATCAAACTGCAATAAGCAGGAAATTGATGGCATCAGCGGAATTTGTGACGAGTAAATGCATCTACAAATGGATAATAATAATTCTTGCATTTGTTATTGCACCTTATCATAATTTCGAGCGTCTCAAAGGCTCCATAGAATATATTGTAAAGTAAATTGATTGTATATATACTTTTGTGGGCGAAAGTGGTGGCCAATTGTGTCCCGCAAACAGTCATGGATTGAGTGACCAAATTATTATTTTTATTTATTTATTTTGAAGCAATTATTACCCCCGGAAAAGCCAATCAACTAACAACCGGGTTCCTACTTACTGCTACGTAACCAGAGACGTGTGGAGTAAGGAAACTTGCCTAAGGTTTTGCCCAGTCAGGGAATCGAACCCAGATCCTCTCGCTTGTGAGGTGAGCGCGCTATCCACTATGCTACAGGACTCCACATCGTTTCTTGGAATTTCAGAAATCCTATGATTTTATTTCCCCCACTTGGCAGCATCTTCCTGCTCATGCGGTTTTGCTATTGGAGGCAACGGCTAGTGACCGTCTCAGCAGGCGACTTTGTCTCAGTAGCTTATCGTGCAACTGACTCTCTCAAGGTCTGTTTGCGCTACAGTGTTTGTTACATGATATTTGCCCCAGGAAAGGAGGAATTCTCTTTTGGAATCAAGGCTTGGGGACCCTAGAGTGTGCGATAGGATGACTGCTAGAGTCTAACCAGATAAAAAGGCATAGCTTGCCATTGAGAGCACTGACTGGCAAGCTTCCAGCTGGGATGACCCTACCCGTTAGGGCTTCGGCTCGCAGGGTTAACAGGAGCTGAGTGGGAAGAATCCCTGGCCCCAATATTATTTTGTGAATGAGCCACTGAACTGATTGGGAGAGACAGCTGCCAGGAATCAGCAATGAGTCATACTGCACTGTCACTGGTGTGTTGCAGCTTGTCAATGCCCTGCAGGATACACTATAGGGAAATAGGATGGCAACATCATTTCATTTCCGTGTACAGTTTATACACCATTTTGTTGTAATTAAACCAAAATCGCATCTAGTGTTGACCTTTAGATTGAAACACAATTTACACTTATACAGAAGGCACCTCAAAGCACTTTAATACAGTTCGCAACCGACATTTCTTTCACATCTCAATCCACGACCATTTGAGGGACACTGCTGTGCGCAATTGGCTGCCACGTTTCACCCACAAAATATAGTCACTTTATGGTATATTCTATGAAGTGCTTTGAGACGTCTCAACGATGTGATAGGACGCTATATCAAATGCAAAGACTATTATTACAATGCAAAAACAAAATTACATTTGTTTAGCACCTTTCATGTCGGAAGAACGTCCCAAGGCACTGGATAGTCAGGGATTTGGACCCGAGCGGGAGATGGGGATGGAATTTGGGGTAAGGGAGGGTTATTATTATCATTATCCCTCACTGGGGCTAAATATATTAGGACACAAAAAACAGCGCAAATCTAATGTGGCGATAAAGGTTGACATAAATCGGCTCTGGGCAAGTCCCACACTGCACACACCTGTGTTCACAAACTGGTAGCTTAACTTATTGTGTTACACAAAATATACAGTCGCTGTACTTTATAGCAGGGCCTCCTAAACTTTCTGAGCTCAAGGCCTATCAGGAGAGTAGATATCTGGGCGTTTTGCCCACAATATACAAGTCAATCCGCTTCACAATATATTCTGTCAAACGCTTCGAGACGGCTCGACGATGCGATAAGGCAAATGTGATATCGAGTGCAAAGATTATTATTATAATATCCTGACTGAAGACCCCCGCACTCAGTCTGGGTGGGCTTGTGGAGGCACGGATCAAGCTCTCCGGGACGCTACTGCGCGTTAAGGACCCTACGTAAATGCTGTTGTTGCTATACCAGTTTGGGCACCGCCGCTTTTATAATACGCCCTGCAAAGCGCTTCGAGTTGACCTCTTGGGAGTGAAGCTGAATTCAAGGATTACTATTTATTTCATGATGTACTTGTGCGTTTTTTATTTAGGTCGGAAATGTAAACCTATCTTGTGAAACTCATGGGGGTGGAGGGGTGTGGAGGGGGTGGGGGGGAGGAAGAAAAGAGCTCCACGATTTGTCCCAACCCCCAAGTCTGTTTGGCAGACAACTGAAATATCCTAAAGATCCCAAAACACTGGCATCCAAATTGCACCCTTTACCCCCACCCATCAACCCACCCACCCACCCACCCATCACCACCCCAATCAGGGGAGAAGGGAGGAGGAGAAGGATCAGGAGAGAGACACACACACACACAGAGAGAGAGAGAGAGGGGGAGAGGGAGAGGGGGAATGGTGTGGGAATCGTCTTACCAGAGCCTGGAAGCGATAGGACACCTCGTAGAGGAGCGCGATGAGTCCGCACACAGCCTCCTCCACACGCCGGGGGTAGCTGTGCCTGACCCGGGTCCCGGGGACCAGCCGGTGGGCAGCACAGATGGGCAGACACGTCTTGGGTCGCTTCTCCTTCGGCTCCATCGTGGGCACCAGCAATCAAAGTGGAGCTGGGATGGGAAGAGCAAAATAAAAATATAATACTATTTGGAGAAGAGTGGGGAGTGGGGGAGGGGGGGAAGGAGAAAAAAAAAAAGCACACACTCACCCACACTCACACTCACACACACACACAATTATAAGGTGAAGTTGGACCAACAGAAGGGCGTCTCTCTCTCTCTCTCTCTCTCTTGAGATTCTGCTGCTTGTTCCTCTTCCAGTTCAATCGTTGCTTCCTCCGGATCCAGGACCTCAAGGGTTCAAAGAGGCAGTGTTCGTGCTCAGGGATCTGCGTGTGTGGCTCTGGTGGGGCTCTGATGGAGAGCCAGGGATGGGGCTGATGGAGAGCCAGGGATGGGGCTGATGGAGAGCCAGGGATGGGGCTGATGGAGAGCCAGGGATGGGGCTGATGGAGAGCCAGGGATGGGGCTGATGGAGAGCCAGGGATGCAGCTGCTGGTGCCCACGTCCCAGGGATGGAGCAGAGAGGCGCTTCCCGAAGTTGACATGGGTTTGGGGAAACTTAGCAGCTGTTCGTCGCTGCTCCATTTACAGCAATCGTTGCAGTTTCTCGCCCCCGTTGATCACCGACACTGATAATAATAATAATAATAATAATAATAATAATCCTTGCATTTGATATAGCGCTTTTCACGTCCGGGAGGACGTCCCAAAGCGCTTCACACAACACACTGTCAAGTGAATTGACTGTATGTTTGTGGGCGAACGCGGCAGCCAATTGCGCACAGCGGTGTCCCCACAAACAGTCCTGGATTGAAAATGACACAATTTATTATTGTTTTTGTTTTTTTGGAGGGATTATTATTAGGCACTGTGTGGAGTAAGGAAACTTGCCCAAGGTTTCTCCCTGACCTGCCTGGAATTGAACCCAGGTGTCTCGCTTGCAAAGCGAGTGCTCTAACCACTGCGCTACAGGACTCCACTGATGCCCTGCAGCTAAAATATTAGCAGCCTGTTTATACACTTTAGTCACAGACCAGGATCTAACAACAACAACAACAACAACAACAACAAAATTACATTTGGAGAGCGCCTTTCACGTCGGGAGGACGTCCCAAGGCGCTGTCTAAAGCGCAGCCCATCCATGAGCACAAGTCTTCTGCTCCCGATTCAGTTTTTTTAAGAGAAAATAAATCAACCTTAAATGACCAAGATAGGCATAAAATCCTGAACTCGAGACGATTCTTTTATGCAAAACGAGCGATATTCATTAGTAAAAGTCGTTCTCAAATTTCACTCCCGTTCTCTTGAAATCCAGTGTTTTACTGCTCCTGGATGAGAAATTAAATTAATTATTTTGCAGCAATGATGGCTGTTTAGGACACCGAGGAATTTGATGTCAGCCTTTTCCCCAAATGGTTATAGCATGAAAGTAAGAAACCTGTGGGTTCAGCCTCCATGTCAGGACTTTGAGCTCAAAGCCTTGGCTAACACTCAACTGGCAAGGGTCATTGTAGGAGGGACCGTCCTTCGGATGAGATATTAAATAATAATCCCTCCAAAAAACCAAAAACAATAATTAAATTGGTCATTTTCAATCTACGACTGTTTGTGGGACATTGCTGTGCGCAATTGGCTGCCGCGTTCGCCCACAAATATACAGTCAATTCACTTCACAGTGTGTTCTGTGACGCGCTTTGAGATGTGCTTATTTTATCAGTCCTGAAATGTAAAAGCCCGGTGGATCCCATAGGATTCAAATCCATATGGCAGGTAATGGGAGGTTTTAGAATAAATAACAACAACAAACTGCATTTATATAGCACCTTTCACATCAGGAGGACATCCCAAGGCACTGGACAATTGAAGGCTTGCACCCGAGCTGAGGGTTGGATTCGGCAAGGGTGGGACCAAAGGGAGTGAGGGTGGGGGAAAGATGACCAAAAGTGTATCCAAGAGGAAGGTCTTGAGATGGACCTTGAAGGAGGTGAGGTGTGGGGAATCTGGAACCATGTTCCAGAGAGCAGGGGGCGGTGGAATAGGCTGAAAGCCTGACCACCGTTGTGGGTGACTTGAAGCCGGCCAGTGCCTGGGAGTCTTTCTGGGGAATTCCTGTTAGAATGGTGTCCTTCACCACAAACTCTTTGATTTATTGTTGACATCCTGAAATGATTCAAATGCACGGAGTGGAGTGATACAACAACTGGCATTTATATAGTGCCCCTAATGCAAGGTAGCATCCCAAAACGCTTAAATGATGAAGGGGAGGTTGAGCCCAAATCATCGTACTCTCAATACCAGTCTCAAGTTAAGGACTTATTTCTTCCCCAGTTGCTCTCTTTCCCCCGAGCCTCCGATATATCATGCCAACTCTCATATCAGATCATTCCTGAAAGAACAGTACATTGCACAACCCAGAGAGCACAGGTTTAGGGTTACAAAGTGTAATTCTAACAGTCTAGGATGTATTTTTTTACATCGAGGGTAACTAATACTGGAACAGGTCACCGCGAAGAGAGGTTGAAGCCAGAATGCTGACGGGAGGACAGGACGGTGGGTATGAGATCTGGAAGGATGAGCCAAAGGGCCTTCTTCATTCCAAACCTCAGTTGCGATCTTCCTAATTAAAAAGCACGGAGCAAGCATTGCTTCGTTCCAAAGTTGTCTTGTCCCCCGGTTGCCATCGAACTTAAAAAGTTTGCATTTTTAAAAATAATTCTGAGGTGGTCAAGTATGTTGGCAGCCACTTTCTCTCGGATGGCGTGGGAGATGATCCGAATTCTTTGTGGGCATTTGAACTGGTTCATGTTTTGAAGTCACTGCTTTATAAATAGAGGCTTGTGAAATTCAATTCAAGTGTAAGCTGCCCATTGCTTCATGTTTTCCATTCTGCTGAGACTTTATCTGTATGCTCATCGACAAAGGTCTAGTCATTTATAAAAGGTTATAGCATGAAAGTAAACAAAGTCAGTTCAAGTCAATCCACAACAAATGTACATTATGAACTAGATTCTGTATTATTCCTGCTCAAGCACCCACATATTTATTCTCCCCCCAAGACTCTCTCTCCTCCTATACCACAAAGCTTTCTCAGGTGAGATGTTGCAATGGGCACCTGGGCACCTTAGACTTCTGTCAATGCTGCTCTTCATCTGTGTTGCTGTTTGAGAGTATAAGAGCAGCTTGCAGATATGATTTGCCTTCTCTAGGTGCTCCTCTGCCAAAATTGAATTAATAACAACAAAATCATGTTGATATAGCACCTGCCAAGCGAAGGGCATGGACAGGTTGGTCTGGTGTTAATAGGTCACAGAGGTCGGGAGGAGCAAGGCCGTGGAGGGCTTTAAAAGTGAGGACGAGGATTTTAAACTCGATCCTCTGAGGGATGGGGAGCCAGTGTCAGGCTGAAACACCTCACACCAGCTGACACAGTGGGGAAGTGAGGAATTCCAATAATAATTCTTACATTTGATGTAGTGCCTCTCACATCAGGAGGTTGTGTCAAAGTTATTCACAGAGTGGACTGTAAAGTGCAGTGACTGTGTATTTCATCCACTGAACATATCGACTTGTTCGCACTCTCTGTTCTGCTCAGTGGGCTCCCCCATGCTCCATATCTCCTGCCTGGCCCGCCCTACCATCGGCAATTGGGCTTTCAGTCTCTCTGGCCCCACCCTTTGGAGCTCCACCCACAGTCCCTTCACCTCACTCCCTCCCTTACCTCCTTCAAGGCCTTTCTCAAGACCCTCCTTTGACCGAGCCTTCGGTCATCCTCCTACCATACCCTCCCTGCCCTAAATCCTAAACCCCAGCTCCTGACCCCAACCTCCAGCTTGGGTCCAAATCCTTGACTGTCCAGTACCTTAGGACTTCCTCCTGACGTGAAAGGCACAATACAAAATGTAAGTTGTTGTTGAACAGGCAGCTGAGACTGGCTTTAACATCTCATCCGATGCAACACCCCCCAGCACTACATTCGAACGTCAACCTAGACTGTGATCTGTAAATCCCAATGCGGGGCTTCAATTCACGACCTTCTTACTCAGATCCACAAGAGTACCACCAACGGAGCCAGGCTGACACCTTGCTGGAGGTGAAATTGCAAGCGTTGGTAGAGTCCGTGTGTTTGGGGCTGATGGGGTAATGGTGATTTATGGTCTGGCTGCACTCTGGGGAATGTGACCTTTTCGGTTCAGTCTGCCTGGTTATATTTAGGTGCATTATTGAAATACTGTACAGAATGCTGCTGCCACGACACAGGTTGAAGTGTGAATGATGGAGTGGAACGCAGACCTCTGTTCACGTGGCCTTGCTCAGACATGTGCTGCGTATTTGGCGGTCGAACCGGCTCCAGTTTTGGTATCTGTGGGGAAACGAGGCAACCATAGGCCGGCTTGAGACCCTAGTGGCTGGAAATTGCAGCAGAGCCTAGGCCCCAACCCCATTTTGTCCTAAAGATTGAATTGTGGAATATTGTTATATCAGCCTCATGTGTATTATTCCAGTCCTGTTTCACATCCCTCTAATACTAATCCTTACAATTGGTATAGTGTGTTTCTCCCACAAAATATACAGTTAATTCATTATGCAGTATATTCTGTGAAGAGCTTTGAGACATCTCAAAGATGTGAAAAGGCATTTCAAATGCAAAGATTATTATAGATCTTGAATATGTTCAATGTGAACAGCACAAAGATGCATTTCCACATTAGGTATGCCTGTTTGTTTTGGCAACACTATCTCTTTTTACTTGGCAAAGGGGTTTTTAGGTGTAAGTTGGTGTTCCTTTAATTCCTTAACCTATACTCCTTCCCCCACTGTGGTCCTTGGAAGCCCTTTACTGACTGATGGAAGGAATAATACTAGGTGTGAATAAGTGCTGACACCATGGCGAGCTGTGAACAACCTAATCTAACATTGGGGAATAATCCAGTCACTCTTCAAAAGGAGCGAATACTGTAAAAGGCTGGCGTCTTTCATTCAGCGAAGGAATTGTGTTCACGTTCAACCCGTTAGGTCCAGTCGCTATACATTCAAGTGAAGGATGGAGTGAGTTGCACACATTTCAGCTGGAGCCAGAAATTTCTTGTGGTCTTAGCCTACGAAACCACTCGGTTAATTTTAAGACAGCTCTGAACTCCCAGTACCATACTGTATGGTTGTCTTGTTTTCTTTAGAAAAAAACACAGAACAGTAGATGAGAACAGGTTCGCAATAGGCTTGTAATGGTCAGTTGAGGACATGTCTAGATCTCTAAGTCCCATTGATGTGACAGCCTGGTC